TGGAGTTGATGAAGCACCTTTTCCGGTACCTGGCTGCCACCAGGAAGCTGTGTATTGTGCTGGGAGGCTCCGAGTTCTCGGCAGAAGATATGAAGCTTGTGGGATTCGCAGATGCCTCACACGCGGATGTCTTACCTTGGAGATATTCCACTGGCGGCCACGTCGTCTTCGTGGCTGGTGGGCCAGTATTGTGGAAGAGTAAGAAGCAGACCTTCGTCGCCCTGAGTACGACGGAGGCAGAGTTTGCCAACCTGACGCCTACAGGGTATTCACTGCAGTGGGTGTCAAAGATATTGGAAGACTGTGGTGTGCCACAGCCAAGGCCATACATGCTGTACACCGATAGTAAGAACGCCGAAATCACAGTTCTGAACCCTCAGAATATCGCTAGGACCCGGTGTATCGATATACGGTACAAGTGGGTGGGTGAACAAGTGAAGGAAGGAAGATTTGGTATTCAACACATCTCTGGGTTGGAGATGCCGGCGGATGGATTCACAAAGGCACTACAAAGGGAGAAGCACGCAAAGTTTGTGCAGCTGTTGGGAATGCGAGATTTTCCGGTTTGAAATATGCAGGAGAACGTGTATTTGTATGGGAAAAAGGCCACTAGGGCATTGGGCAAAGGAGTCAAAGGAAGTGGAAGAATCTGGGCGTATATTGGGCTTCGGAGGATATTGGCGATGGCTTCATTTTGGACGGCGGTGTGCTGTCTGTGGGGGGGTGTGGGGCACCAAAGGGCCCAGGTTTTCCCAGACCCACACCGGTTTGCTCTTGGGGCTGGATTTTCTTACTGTTTACTTTTTAACCAACAACCAACTACTGTAATACCAATTTGCTTACCATTTTTTGGCCATTTTAGCCTCATTTTCGCAGCCAGTGACTTTCCTAGGTCGCCAGCCCAACAGAAGACGAAGAGCGAGGCAGTTAAGCCGAGACGAGAGTAGGTATTATAAATGCAGTGTCTACCGTTGCCGTTGCTGTAGTAAGTGGTGATTGTAACTGTGGTATCTATTGTCGTTATTATCATTATAGACGTCGTTGTTATAGCAAGTGAGCTCGGATTAAGAGCCTCACCTACATGGAGGCCATGGCACATGGCACCTGGTATATATTATATAGGTATATATATGAGATGTATAAAAGCATGGACAAGGTAATGATATTAGTGATGCGTGAGGAAAAAGTAGAAGAACTCCATGTGGAAAAATTCAAGGGGTAAAGCTATTTATTTAATAGTCTTTCATGCCACGCTCCCATGTGGACAATAAGAACTACCGCAGATAGTAGTTCAATGTAAGGGTTAGTAAGAGCCTCATCCGCATGGAGGCCATGTGGCATCGGTATATATAGGACGCAATAAAGTATAGGCGAAGGTGCTAATTTGGTTAGGACCTAAAAGTGGTGATGTAGATGTGTGAAGCAGAAAAAGAGCACTCGGTCTACGAAAGAGAGAACAAGAGCAATGTGTTTTCAGGGCTATATGTAGAGATTCATTAAGGGTATTACATATAGAAATGCACAAAGAGTGTTATATATGGATGCGCATAAAGAGTAATAAAGAGATATATATAGAGCAAGTATTCTAAGGTATTTAAAGCTCAGATTTAACGTTAATCCCAACTTTTACTATCCATTTCAATCTCAGATTTAACAATGATCCCAACTTTTACTATCTATTTCAAGCTCAGACTCATAGGTTGAATGTCATTACTCTTAACACTATATGCTTGGATAAAAGATTTAGTGCCCCAGAGCGCTGCTCTTCGTCTTAAAACAATCAACTACGGTTCTAAGCGGCATAGTTATAGTGTTTAGATGATTAAAGTATATAGAATACCGTAGGTAGTGTATATGGCATATCTGGGATGCAAATAAATTAGGTATAAGCGAAGGTGCTGATGATGGTGATGTGCGAAGGTGATGACATCGCTGATGGGTAAATAAGAAAAGGAGTGCCCAGCTGCGAAGGGGAGAGAAGAGCAAGAGCAAGTGAGGATATAGCATAAATAGCACATCATACCTGTCCTACTTAAGCTCATTCAACCTCACACTACATATCAAAAGTCTTCATAAAAGAGTACCAAAAACTTGCATTTTTCATAACCCACACCTCCCAAAACCCAAGTCTTATCGCTAACGCCGCCAAACACTTCAAAAGCTAACCACCTACATAATCTGACATATCAACACCCCCCTAAAAGAATAACAAAGAGAAAAAAAAAAGACATCACACCCAGTCATATCTCATATATTCATCACATACCCTTTCCCACACCCACACCACAATACCCATATCTCCCAACAGACGCTCCCAAAACAAAAAAAAACGTAAACATCATAATCACATACATGCCCTCTTCCCTGACCTACATCCCTCCATGAAATTCCAACCCAAACTCATGCATTCATATACCCATAATCAATAATCGTCATCCTTCCCGCCCTCCCCTTATCCCCCCCCATCCCCATCCCACAACCACCCCCCCTCTCCCTCTCCCTCTGCTCCTCAACCCAACTCATCCGTCTAATCACATCCCCCACCCCATCCCTCACCTCCCTCGGCCTCGAAATCATCTTCCTCAACTCCTCCGTCCTTTTCTCCCTCCGCTTCTCGCTCAACCTCCTCCCCAAATTCATCCTATCCACCCAGCCCCCCTTCTCCTCCCCAGCACTCCCACCCACCAATGATGATCCAACCCCGATCCCCACCGGCCTCTCCTGTGACCGTCCCCTCGACAACCGTCTCACCAACCCCTGCAGCGGCCTCCCAATCCGTGTAACCGGCGGCCTCGACACCTGCTGCTGCTGTTCCGGCGCCGTCACCGGCCTAAGCGACTCCAACGACTTCCGAAAGCGCATAACCCTCAGATTCCCCGATGGCGTCCTCCTAATCGTTCTCCGGTCAACCTCGCCATTTGGCCCCGACCCGGCAGCAACAGCATAGTAATCATCCTCGTACCCATCATCCTGGTGTTTATCCTGCACCGGCAAAATCGCAAACGTCCGCTTGAGACGCTGGCTCAAACTCCTTCTTCTAGCAGGAGCACCACCAGGGCGGTTGTCAATAAGCGGGTACTTGTACCTTCTTCCCCTCTCCTCATAATAGTCTTCGTCTGGGTCGGATTCAGAATCGGACATCGAGTCTTCCGCGTAGGCAGGTCGCCAAAAGGGGTGGAGAAGGTGCTCATCCCTGGGATGATCATCCGTACTACGGCGGCGCTTGAGACCCGGCCGCTGCGGTTTGGATTCATGACGGCCAAGGGAGAAAGTCCTAGTTATCAACCCTGGACGGGACGGTGAAGGACCATACTGATCACCAACCGGCTTCTTCCGCCCCCCAGTCAAGGCACGCCGAAGCAGCGACTGGCTACGCTTTGGCTTTTCACCCTCACCATTCACCTCAAAGTAGTTCCCCAGCATCTTCTGCCTTTCCGTCATGGGCGTCAAGCCCGAGGGAGTAGCCGGGATGAAGTTGATGACTGGCGGACGAGGTGGCTCGGGAGGGGCTCGCGGGTTTCGCAACGGTGAGTCGACGACTTCTTCAAAAGAAAACCGCCTCTGGGGTGGTGTGGCTGGTTCTGCGATTATGACAGGATTCTCGAGCGAGGAGCTCTCGGAAGGCTTGGCTGAGTGGTCGACCAGCACGACAGACTTGCTCTGGTGCGGGTAGATATTAACCGCCATGGCCTCCGAGACTTCAGCGTGAGAAGTGCCCGCCGTCTCGACTGAAGCGATAGAAAAGGGGGTGTTCTGGGCAGAGAGCCGCTTTCCAAACAACGGGTCACCGTACCGATCCACGGAAAGGTGATGGTCATCCCCTTCGCGGTCTGGGCTTGACACAGTCTTTCTACTCTCAGCACGCTGTTCCGGCAGAACCTGCTGGATTGTGACTTCGGGCTGCGGAGACTTGGTGACAATCTTCAGCTCAGGGGGATGTTGCAGCCCCACCCTTTGCTCTCTGACCCTCTCATTACTCTCCGCGTGCTGGTTTACAAGCTTATTGAGCTCCCGGCTAGCCTTTTGCAGTTCTTGATGCTGTGCCTGGATGGCGTTGTGCGCCTTGAGGCTCTCTGCCGTAAGCGAGCCACTTCTAGAAGCATTCCTACTCGTAGGGGCCGAGAGAGAAGACGACCGCTTCGGTATCACAGGAGGAAAATCGATCGTCCGCTCATCTCCAGCACTTCTACCTCCATCTGATTCGGAGTGGGCTCTACCTCGGCGTTGTGGTCGATCAAAGATAGGAACTCGCTCAACGCTCTTGGATGTACGTGATTGCGGTGCAGAGCTGAGACTCTGGCTTCGCTGGGATCGCCTCGTGCTTGTTGACCTCAAAGACGGGGTTCTTGCAGTGTTGGACTTGTTGGACTTGATCGACGATCGACGTTCGGGCACAATGGCAACCGCAATCGCGCCCGCTTTCCAGGCCTCTCGCCGAGCTTTGTGACTCGAAATTGAGCTCAAAGTAGCCATAGACGCATGGCTATCTCGCCCAGTGTCTCCTAGTCTCGAAGCTGGCAGAGGCCCCCTACGTGGTTCTTCCACGGCTGCCGACGTAGATGTAGGCGCTGAACTGGCAGGTGAAAGCTCGGAGCTGGAGTCGCGCAAGTCAATCTGCTTCTTCATGTGTCGTAGCGTCTTCCGCCGCCGAGGGGCTGCATCGGGGTGGTCGACCACAGTCGAAGTTGTCGACCTATTGGACATGATGGAGGAGCGCTTGGCGTCAGAGCCTATCGAAGATTCGGACATGGACGGCGGTCCTCGATTCGGCACCCGATCTGAGACGACTCTGCGTGCAGGATAGGTCGTCGGGCTGTCCTGTAGCGACACAGAGCGCAGCGCTTTGGTGGCGTTTGTTGCAGACACAGTCGAGTCCTCAAGGACCTCGTTGTTGTTGTGATCCTCCATTTTTTGCGCTGATACCTTTCGCTTTCTTATCGACACATTCCTCATGCGAGTTGCGTTCCATTCCTCTGCCACCTCACCATTCTCGCATGTCCACCCTCCATCAAATTTCTCAAATTCCCTGGTTTTATTTGGAGCCTCGGCTTCCTTCTCACCCGACTCGAGCCCAAGCCCCAAGCCCACGGGCTGAACCTTCTCTTTCCCATCCGCCTTCAACTGCCTGACAGTGCTCCGAGATGTCTGGGCTGATGAGAGCACCGGTCTCAGGAGCGATGACCCGCCGTCCTCCTCATCAGGAGACGTCAGAGGAACCTCTGGCGCGGTTCTATACGACTGGAAGCTCGACTCGGTGGTGATTTTCGACTGGAGTCGATCATAAAGCGGAGGTCGTGCCCTGAGCTGAGACTCAGCCGGACCTGGGGGTGTTATTTCGGGCGTGAGAGGTGTCTGTGGATTAGGAGGGGTAGCTGGAGACTGCGGCTGGACCGTCTCTATGCTTTGCGCCGGGCTTTCAGCGTCATCCGGCTCGTCGCTGGACGGGTCAACGGGATGGCTCGTCGACGAGGTTCGTGAATGCGCTGGCGGCGTTGGTGGCGGTTCAGGACCCCTTCCTCGTCGCTGTCTTGGTACGTGGAGCCCTTGCTGACGAGGTCGTCGACTCGCCGGGGAGATAACAGTTTGTGACAGCGGAGGTTCAGTCTCGACATGCTTTTCCGGCCCGGAACGCGATCGCGACCGTTGAACTTGCAAGTTCGTTACTCCCACAACGGCCTCTTTGCGTGGGTGTGGCAGAACCTTGTGCCTCTTGAACATGCGCGGCTGGTTTTTGAGGCGGTCCGCTTCCAAGCCAAAAGCCTGGTCAACCTGGGACAAACCCATAACGGGGAGCGCAGGTCCCCGGCCGTCTACCGTCATCGGAGAAGAAAGGCGGCTTGTCCGGCGATGGTCTGGAGGGGTGAACGAGTTGTTGGAAGAAAGAGTCAAAGGAGAGAGATTGGCATCATGTTTGATGATTTGCTTACGTCGTTGTTGGAAATGTGCTGCGGTGGCGGCGAGTGATTTCACTGTTGGAAAAAGAATGCGCCACGCAGGGTTCCTCTCGGCGAAGCTGCTGGGCGAGGTATCACAGAAGGAAAGTTGCGGCCGGAGGACAGCGTCCTGGATAGAGGCAGATGGCAGCGACCTGTGTGAGACATCGACAAGTGGCAGGTTCGGGACCTTCCTTGTTCACGCAAAGAGCGAATCACCTCGAGACACAGCGTGAGTGAGAAGGAGGGACACCTGGGCGGAGCATATGATCAAGGGCGGGACCGGGGGAAGCAGCGCGTGCCCGATAGTGTCTGTCTAGAAAGAGAGAGTGATGAATGGAGGGAAATGCAATGTAAATGCACGCTGAGGAAGAGCATCTTCTTCCAAGTCCATTTGGTCCATCCCCATTCAACTGTCCTGTTCGAGGGGTTTTCTTGTGATTGGCCCGGTCTTTGATGCACCTCAAAATAGGCGGGCTGGGAACGAGAGGAGGGTACCCCTAGCTTGAGCCCGCGCTGAGAATCCCTAACTTCCCTGCCAAGCCTTTCCCACGGCGGGGAACAAGGAGAACAAGAGCTCCACTCCCCGCCCAGTCTGGAAGTCTTGTCTCGACCTCGATGACGATTTGCATCTCGTTCAGCTAGAATTGCATTGTCCATTTCCATTGTTGGTTCTCTCTGGCTCTGCCCAATATCCAGCAACAACGTCCACGTATCCTTATCAATGCATGAAATGGCCTCTCCCAAAGCGGATCCGGGCAGGCAGAAACGCAGTGCTATCCAGTGGCCATCCGTTGCGCTGTCCTGCCGCAGCACGGCAGCTTCTGATGTGGGACACGACCGGCTGCTGCATCAGTCGTTTTTAGCTGCGCTTTTTCAGGAGCCGGCTCACGGCCCCGCCCACTCTGCAGCGAAATCAGGGCACCGGCCGAATCAGCGCAAGAAACTGCCCTACGCACCGGAGGTGGTCCCACTGGCCGCAGGATGAACGGGACGAATGAGATCGCCTCAACCATGGTGAAGACGGTGACCTCACCAGCCGTTCCAGCCCAAGTCAGCCCGGCGGTTGTTTTCTCCTTCTCCTTCTCTTTCTTCTTCTCGTACTCTTTGCCTTCGGCCGTTTCCTGGGTTCAACAAGTGTCATCCCTGGACAACAATGGCCTTCTTTTGCTCCATGTCTCGGGAACCACGTGTTGGGCTTGAAACGTCTTTGAGTGCAGGGTCCTTTCAGATATTCTTTCTTCCGTCGACCACAAGGGGGGGATCCCGCATCGTAACACAAGTGTGTGGATGGGGAGACAAGATCGGGAGTCGAGACAAAGCTGTCCATGGGCTCTATTATATGTTTGAATGAGGAGGTGACCACATATCTCCGACTCGGAAATAAATTTGTAAGAAATTCAAAACTCACACAATTCCATAACTCGCTCTTATCTCCTCGATCAAATGTCACCATATCTGAGCAGCGAATAGGACCTGCGTGCCACCGAATGTATGAGAAATAAAGACCAATGACCACATCGCCACCAAAGGGGGCATCTGCACTTATACATACATACGTCTCCGAGATAGCAACATCCCACTCCCAACGGCTATCTATCTCCAATCCCCCATGGACCAGTTCCCCCGCTCCAGACCGTTGATGTCATTCGCACTGGAACGGTAGCCCCGCATTCCCGGGTCTCGATCGCTTCAAGTAAAAGAGATTCCATTAGTGGTCGAATTATCCAACGTCCAGAGTGTGGGATTCCGAGAATTCGACGAGCTTGCCATTGCAGCATCGCATAAAGCCTTATAATTGGTGTACTGTCTTCTGCAGTCCCAGTCGGGAACATGCTCTACACGCTCTGCTTTATCTCTCCTGTCGCTCCCGCATGAGATGGGACGTGATGCTTCCACTGAGATGATGGAACGACCGTTACCTAACGAGAACCGTTGAGATGACATGCAGTGGTGGTTCGTGGAAGGACGTCCAGTGAAATGGGCTTGGGGGAGTTTGAGGCATGTCATTATCTGTGATAAGGCCGGAGATGTGCTTCAAGGGAATTGGGCTGCTGCAAGTGGTGACGACTGTTGGTCGATGGCTCGCAGAGTCCCAGGCCGAGGGGAAAGGTGCGCTGGACCATAAAAGGAGTGATGCCTTGGCCATATTTTCGCTGCTCTGGTGTCTGTATCAACATCACACATCGGAACTCACAAATCGACATTATGGCAACTCAGGGTCTGCTCGCCCTGTGGCTTACAGCTGCCGTTCTGGCACATGGTGACCATGAGCATCAAAAGAACATGGCCGGGCCTCACAAATCTCTGTGGTACAACACCTTGCCAGGCGATGGAGGGACTCAGGTCAGTCATCTAGAGATCTTCCATGTCTTGTTGGCTAACACAGCTCACAGGCGGACTCTGTCTTCTCTGGCATCTCAACCTTTGGGCGCCTTCCTTATCTTCCTTGTCTCTTTCACAAGGACATTGACTATGACATCGCTTTCATTGGTACGTCTGTTACACAACAATCAACCGCCTGCATACACAACGTCAGGCAGCCAGGCTAATAAGCATAAATAAACAAGGCGCTCCCTTCGACACGGGCACGTCCTACCGTCCCGGCGCTAGGTTCGGCCCCTCCGGCATCCGGCAGGGTTCAAGAAGGCTCAACCTCTAGTATGTGTAACCCTCCTCACCTCTACCATCCACACCGACTGACGGCCCCCTTCTAGCGGCGGCTACAACGTCCCCCTCGACACAAACCCCTTCAACTCCTGGGCCAAAGTCATAGACTGCGGCGACATCCCGGTGACATCCTACGACAACACCTACGCCCTCCACCAAATTGAAAACGGCCACTTCTCCATCCTCTCCCGCCCCCCAACCACGGACGCCACCAAACCCGGCCCCTCCCTCAAAGGCAAGACCCTCCCGAGAGTGATCACCCTTGGAGGCGACCACACCATCACACTCCCCCTTTTACGTTCTATCAATCGCGCCTACGGCCCCGTGACAGTCATCCACTTTGACTCCCACCTCGACACCTGGAAGCCAAAGGTATTCGGCGGCTCGCCTTCGGAAACGGCCTCCATCAACCACGGAACGTATTTCTACCACGCGGCACAGGAGGGCCTTTTGCGAAACGACACAAACATCCACGCGGGAATCCGCACAACTCTTTCGGGGCCGAGTGATTATGAGAACGATGGCTATTGCGGCTTCGAGATTGTGGAGGCGAGGGAGATTGACACTATAGGGACGGAGGGAATCATCAAGAAGATAAGGGAACGGGTCGGGACGAAGAACCCTGTTTATTTGAGCCTGGATATTGATACGCTTGATCCGGCTTTTGCGCCTGCCACGGGCACGCCCGAGACGGGGGGTTGGAGCACGAGGGAGTTGAGGACTATTTTGAGGGGGTTGGAGGGGGTGAATTTGGTGGGGGCGGATATTGTTGAGGTTGCTGTGAGTTCCTTCTTGATACGGCTGTGGTGAAAGGGCGGGTTAGGGAGAGATGATGATGGCTGACAAGGGGGTGTGATAACAGCCCGCCTATGATACCAACGCTGAGCACACCACGATGGCGGCTGCGGATGCGCTATTTGAGATTATGAGTATCATGGTCAAGAAGGGGTAGGTTTGCTATTTTTTGCCTTTATGTGGATGTTTGACTGATGCATAACAGCCCCCTGAGCGTCCTCGACATTGACCCCCCTGCAGACGAAGACACAAAGGATTTGTAAACCTCACACCATATTTTGCATCCATTGACGCCAAAGCTGGAAGGTATCACCGTGGTGAATAGTTGGGGTTATGAATTGGGGTTAGGAGTTGAATCATGCCGGGAAACGGAGCTGGCAGGGTGGCGCTACTTAGCTGGAGCTTCTGCCACCGAGAGACATCCACATCTGAAATGATGTGAAAACAGGGCCGCTGGTCTAGTGGTATGATTCTCGCTTAGGGCTCACCCTGATGTTTACAAAGTGAAAATTCTTCTCAGAATATTAGCTTGCGAGAGGTCCCGGGTTCAATCCCCGGGTGGCCCCTATCTTTTGCTTTTGATGTATGCTACACACCACACCGCACGCATCTTTCGCTTTTATACATGTTACACACTGCAGGGGACTTTTTGCTTTAGAATTTTAGTACTCAATCCAAGCTCTTTTAACAGTGATCCAAATTTAGTCTCAGCTTTTGCCGTCTATAATCCAAACTTTCTATGTCGATAATTTGAGCTTTTTTATCCCTTTTGTCCTAGCGTGTTGAGGATAGCTTTTGGATATAATATGCTTGGATTAGTAGAAACAAAGCTTGGATTATAATAAGGAAGTTTTCTCTCCAACAAAAAAACCAAAAAAAAAAACAAAGCGTTGAGGCGCAACGCAAGATATAAGAACAATTGTCACGAAGCTGAGGTCTTACAAGTCAAGGCCAATATAGTATTCCGTAGCTAAAGTAATTGTGAGATCAAGAAAAAAAGAAAAGTAAAGTGTAGTAGGCCTGCTCGCTCTCCCAAATATCTATGCCCTGCCCTGCTTGTTGCCCCACTTGGCCTGTGCTATTTTTTCCTGCTCTCCCATTGGCTGCAGTCCTGTCCTCAGCCCTCGTCCTCAGCCCTGGTCCTCCCAACTCCAACCCAGTATCCTGCTCTAGGCTATATGTCGTCACATCCGGTATAAAAATTTATGTATGTTAATCTCGCTCTTGAATGCTTGATCCAAGTTTTTACACTATAATATAAGCATTTTAAAGACAATAAGTAGTTTCAGCCTTTGTTATATATAGCTTTGATAGTGAGAGCTGGAGTTAGCTGATTATTTAGACAGAAAAATGCTGGAATTAAGTATTTATTAAGATCTAAAAAGCTAGGACTGATAACTATACGAGCTTGGAATTATAGTAAAAAAAGATCAGATTAAAAGAGTATTTTAAAAGATATTTATAACTTAGGATGTATATATATATAGATAGATAGCTATTCAGAGCTACTCCAACAAAGAAGTATCTCACGCAAAAGCTCTATGGAGGCGGAGTTATATAGATACTCAACGTCCATCAGCAGCATATATATATCATCTAATTATAATAGCGGCGTGATAAATATGTATCGTGTTGCTACTTAGAAGAACAAGACTTTGGATGTGGTTACCTATAGAAGGCAGAAACGAGACTCCTTCTCAAATACCGCCCTTTGACGATTTCAATTACAGTATGCAGAGCGAAGTTCCATCTATAGACTATCCTTACTATGACTTAGAGCTTCGCTCCAATGAGTGAAACATTGATGATGGAAAACTGCTGTAGCTGGTGCTCGGGTTAGGGTTGGTATAAGTTAAGGCTTGCTGAAAACTAAGCATTGTTGATGACAATGCGCTCAGCTGATGGAATCCCGTCTATTTTTGACCAAACAAAGAGCAACAAGAATATTGTATGACACTGCTGCATCCAGCAGCGTGGATGGAATGTCGGGACTACCCGATGAAGCTTGGGCCACTTGTGACGTCGAGAGAATTGACAGATCACAGTAGGCAGAGCATGATAGAGGACGCCTGCTTTAAGGACGTGACTTTCAGGGAAGGAGCAAAGGTAACTCGAGATTAGTATTTCCCGCTGCCTGAAAGTTCGAGGTGGGGGTAGCTTGAATGCCTCTTTGGTATTTGATCATGAGCGACCTCGTGTGCCGCCCTCATTTTCTCTTACATTGCAATAGTATCGTTTGTATTAAAAGACCAACCAGAATGTCCGCCCTTTGGGGGGTGTAAATACGGGACATGGTAGCAGCTACCATGGTGGCCTACCTACGACACTCTCCTGACTCTCACTCTTCTCTACGTTTCTGCACAACGTCCGGAAATGGACTTCAGGCTGGTACAGTTAACTGCAGCCGTTTCCGGTCAGATCATAATTACACGACTAACTGAGTTTACAGGCTTCAACTTTCATTCTGGAATTTTGTCCGTGACGGATTCGGCGCATTTTGACCGCATCGATGCACTTACCTGGTGAACTCAGGAATGTATGTAGCAGGACCCGCGAAGCCACGAGAAACATTCCGCCCACGCTGACTCTCATAGCCGAGGAACACCACGCCGGCTTGTCTTGGGTTGCCTCTGACCTTTTACATAGGTAGGTAGGGGCAAACACATCATCCAGTTGTTCAAGTGAAGGATGGCGCAACCGAGGCCTACCCCGGTGTCAATATGGAGCTGCATCATTTCTGTGTAAACACAGGTTTCTTTGTTCTTCCAGCTCAGCCTCGTCAACATGGGATTTGCTAACGCTTCCGGGTACACATCACCACCAAGCTTGGACGTTCTCCTTTGTTTACTGCCATCCTCTCTCGATGATGCATTCGGCCATGACATCGCCCGGCGGTTGTTTATAACCCAATCCTGCCCCTCAAGGTAACCGAATTCTGGGATTCCTCCTGCATCATCACGAGTGCCCGTCATTTGATCACTTCATTCGTTTGTTGACACCAGTCAAACTCTCAATTTCACTCAGACCATCTACCACTCTAATATCATCACCAAGATGAAGCTCTTCTCTCTCCTCGGCGCCTTCATGGCCTCCTCCCTCGTTGCCGCCGGCCGCCCAGAGCCAGAAACCACCACCACCCGTATCAAGCCTACTTACACCCCGCCCTACACCGAGACGACCACCACTCACATCTGGAACAGGCCCACCAAGACTGAGACCGAATACAAGACCAAGATTTATGTCAAGCCATCCGTCTACACCGAGACCGAGACGGAGTATCATACCAAACATCACCACAAGACGGTCGTTTCTGTTCAGTCTGTTCAGTCAGTCTACACTCCGCATACCAAGCCTCATCACACGGATACTGTGACGATTATTGGGTCCAAGACCTATCCTGTTTACGTGCCTACCGAGACACCTGCTGTTACTGCTGGAGCGGCTGGGAAGCAGGCAGCGGGAGCTATGGTTGTTTTGGGTGTTGTTGCTGCTTTTTTGCTTTAAGGTTGTTGGATGGGGGGGGGGGAGTGGGTAATATTTAATTTTTGAGGGATTCTTGTTTACTTCGTTAAGGTTGTTGTGATGGGGTTGGGGTTTGAGTGTAATGTTTGATGATGGATGATTGATAATGAGCCAGCCTTGAGAAGTTTCAGCAATTACGCAGTGACAAAAGAACCATTGATCTTCCAAGTCCATTTCACTGATGCTGTCGTCAACCACCACCCTATTTTTCCAAGGTGTTTTTAAACTTCAGCCAAGCTGGGTCAAGACAACGTCACCTCGTCACCAGAGCCCACCGGCTGAAACTCAACGCAGGCCCGGTACTTAATCCTGAATTCTCGAAAGCAATTCCGTGGCGAGGTAGTACAGCGGTTATTACATTCCCGGGTTTGAGCGAAAACCGAGTTTCGACTCCCGGCCCGTCACACAGCGTTTGTCTTTCCAGCTTTTTATTTTTATTTTTATCAATTCCACCACCAATATAGCATCTCATATTTTATATCATACTGTCCCGTTATGATCTCGGCTGCTTTAATCTTTTGTTCTCGTCTTTTAACAGATATAATGGCAGACCTTTATGTTCAGAAGTCAAGCTCCTTTGCAGGCTGGGTCGTCAAGATGGTGTTTCACGCTTTCTAGAATATATAATCCATTTTTATTTCTCGTACATCATAAACAAAATCCTAAAAAGAAGAAAGATTTGGGATAGGGGACATTAAAATCTCGAACGTAAACAGCCATGACCTGCGCACATGGGAAACACTCAGATTTTGGTGTGTGTGTGTGGTTCCAGCCTTTCTACCAACTTGAATACTCCCATCCAACCTTTAAACCCCTACGTTCCACAACACATACCTTACCTAGGTATTTACCTACTCCTCCTCCCCCTTACTCAACCCCAACTTTTCCACAAACCCCACCTCCTCCTCCCACTCCCCCCGAAACCGTCTCAACCTCTCCGTCCTCTCCCCCGCCAGCCTCCTCCCCTCAGCAGTCTTCATCATCCCCTCCAACTTGACCAACTTCTCATCAATATGATCCACGCTCGCCTGCAGCGAGCGGGAGCCTTTGGCCCCGCCAAAGGTGAACATCCGTGCTATCCCCACCGCTCCGATGGCGTCGAGCCGGTCGGCGTCTTGCACGACCCCCAACTCGGGGTGTTTGGCGAGGATGGACTGCACATGGGAGGGGTTTTTGACTTCGGTGGAGTAGGAGACTGCGAGGCAGATTTCTTGGACTTTTTGGGCGAGGGAGGAGGGGCAGGAGAGGGAGAGGAGGGTTGTTGATATGAGGGTTGCTGGGTCTTGGTTTGGGAGGAGGTATCTGCTGAAGTTAGACACTGGGGGAGGAAGAGGGGAGGGGAAACGGACTTGCGGTCGCCGACGTCGTGGAGGAGGGCGGAGAGGTGGATTGCTTTTAGGTCTAGGGATTGTTGTTGAGGGGGGGTGTGGGCGTAGATGTGGTGGGAGAGGGAGAGGACGCGTTGGATGTCTGGTGATGGATGTTAGCATGGGATTTGGAATTGGGGTGGGATAGGTATGGCGTACGGTCAAAGTCGTGGGAGGCGTCGTAGTTTCTCATGTAGTCTTTTACGTAGGAGGTTACGGAGATGATGAGGGGGTCGGTGAGGAGGGCTTCCATTTTAGCGGTTCTGATTTTTTTGATGCGAGGTGGTGAAAAGGTGATGAGGTGAGGAAGGTAAATTTGACGCTGAGTGAGTTGTGATGTTCGAGTTCGATAAAGCGGTCAATGTTGGAGACATGAAGAGCGATGATGTGAGAAGTGAGTCATGAAACAGTGGGGCAATTAGGCAGCAACTCCAATCAGTAGCCTCGACATCGAGAATGAAGGGATTCACAAGCTCGCAACAGGTAGATTTGGTGTTGATCGCCCGATTAGGAAATTCATTATGCAGAATGATGTGGGTACAATTTTCTATTGTTGATAGTACCTTACCAATTGTTTGGTCGGACCTCAACGTCTATAGTTTTCCTACCTAGGGCAGGCATCTTACTGAAGTGGCCAAGAAGGTTCATAATACGTACCTTACTTAGCTATATCCTTCGACGTTTTGGCACTGGGTCATTTGCTCTATACTATAAACCCGGGGTTCAAGCTGCGTAACACAGTCTGATGATTATCATGGTCCAAACATCATTAATATTTCGTCACATTGCGTTTTCACCAAGATAGAGTCCATTTATATAAGAATCGGTTTCATTCTGCTCAAATCCTCCGGGTCTATAACCTAAGTCGACGTACTTGATCATTTTGTACTGGCGACCAGAAGCGAGGCCCCGAATGGCGTCGTAGATGTTGGCAATGTCGTGTTTGTTCTCATTCAGAATGCTGCCGACTTGTCGGTGGATTTGCAGGCTGTACTCCACAACAGCCACGCCCTCCGAAGCCCATCGCAGAGTCCTCTTGGACAAGCGGAGCCTGTCCATGTCTGTGACACCTTACCTCACCCCCAGGCAACCGAACTAGCCTACCTACCAGTGCGGTTGCTCCTGCGCGAGCGCACGCCTGGGGAGCTCGCAGATCGTGGGCTTTTCACGGCGGGAGACACCGAGCGAGAGCTGCTTCAAGCGCATCTCGTATGGCACCGCACCGAGTAGTTGGTTGTTGCAACGTTGGTTGGGGCAGCAGCATGGACCTTGGTGATGCAAGATGGGTCGAGGACGAGGTTGGAAGGGTTTGCTCTCGAAAACTGGGAGGATTCTGTGGGAGCGGTTGGATGCTTGAGAGGTATGGCGGTCTAAGATGCGGTGAGGGTGGTGGGGGGTTGAGTCGATGCAGAAGGTTTCGAGCGGTGGTGAAGGTGGTGGAGAGCTGAGTGGATGAAGGGGTTTCGAGCGGTGGGGAGAGATGGAGGCGTTGTGTTGGTTGGTGTGGTGAGATATTGAAGTGGTGAGTTTCTAGTTTAAGGGGAAGGTTAGTACTATAGTACAGACATAAGATCTCTGATAGTAAAAGTGTCGAGATATAGTCTGGGGTGTGTCTGTTTAACATCGGATTCTGTCTAGATATCATCAACCAAGGGCACGTACAATGTTGAACCTTCGACAAAGAGATTATAAGCAAATAAATGGAGATACACTTGAAAAGAGCCGCTAGGTAGGGTATCGACCAAGACTGATGTTTTAAATTAGATATACTTCGGCCAGGACGTGAGTTGGACATATGAATACTTCCTCATCAAAAGTAAACGTCTATCCACTGTCCTTAAAAGATAGAACAAGATAATAGGGGAAATATGAGTCAGTGAGTGTGATAGATGGCGAGTAGACTGGCGGTAAATATTACGAGGGTACTAATAATACTGAGTGAATGATCGAGATATATTATATAAATCAGGTAAAATAATGAAGAAATGGATTGCTGTGATTGGTGGTAGTGTATGCCAGAAGTAGGCGCCTATAATATCTTATATACCCCCCAAACTCCTTCCTATTTAAATGCCGATGAAAAAAATCTAACTATGCAATGTGGTATCATCTCCGCTCTTAATTACCCGCTGGTACTCGCTCGCTTTAAGTCATTCACCTCATCACCACAGACTTCCTCTGCACCCCCTGCCCATCAGGCATCAGCGTCCTCCTCCCAGTAGTGACATCCCTCCTGCTCACACAGCAGCAACCCATACCACTGTGCACCGCAAACCCAATGATACCGAACCCAGCGGCCAACCACATGAACACAAACATCTTTGTGCCCACATAGGACTTGATGTTGAGCTCCTTCTGCGCTTCAGCCGCGTACTTAAACACCAGGCTGATGACGGTGCCTACTATGCTTGCCGCCACTACCAGCATCATGTTGATAAACGCGCCGATGGACAGTGGTAAGCTGTACCACTTGGATTTTGTGGCGATCGGCGAGAGGAAGATGTAAAGGAATGTCAGGATGGCAGAGGTGAGGAAGAAGCCGAACATGATCTGACTGGTGATTTGCAGGATGGAGAGAATGGTAATGATTTCGGTGGGGAGGGCAATCGTGGCTCCTGCCAACAGTTCGGACATGAGGATCTCGACGGGGTTGAACCAGTAGAGGGTTTCGGGTTTGGAACAGTAAGTGATGCCTCTGTGATAGGGTTAGCATGAAGACACACTGGTATCTTTTAGTAAAAGAACTTACTCATTGATGAAGCCTTCACAGAAGTTCCACAGCCCAACTTGGTAGAAGTCGTGCAGACCAATGGATTGGGCGATGGAGTTGATCAGTCTGGCATTGGGAACGCTCAGAGGGATGATGTCTGAGAGGTCTAGCCTGAAGAAGTAGATATCGGACAGCACGGCTTTGGGATATGTGTTGCCGATCAAGACCTGCAGCCATGTCAGTAAGGTAATCAAAGAGCGAAGATTTCTCCAACAATAACATACCAGCACCAAAAACACCCATGAGATGAGATATGAGATAGAGGCCGTCAAAGCAAAAACGCGGCGGGTTTTGGTCACCCGTCGAAGTGTGTCTTGTGGAATTGTATCATTTCCAGTCTGATAATCTGGCCTGGATGTCGGCGTTGAAGGCCCAGTGGATGCATGTTTCTCGCTGGTGGGCGTGGTTGTGTTCCTCTTTCGAGGCCTAAGAATTGACGGGAGGCCCATTGTTGCTGTCGTTGACAAACACTGACCGGAAAGGTGAGATGTGAGCCGGAAGCAAGTCCGGTTGTAAGAGCGGCGCGAGCGAGAAATGCGGCTGCAGTGGGTGAGATAAGAACACAAAACTCAGCCCAGAGGATATGCAGTCATCAAGGTTCTTGGGTTCTTGGTTCTCGGGATGCCCGGCTCCACGATACTTCGACAGGTTTCCACGAGAGATGCAGCGGGCGAGCTTATGACTAGAAAAAAAACAGATGGCGAGCTACACCAAGAGAATTAAAGATCGCCAGACAAGAAAAAAGATGATTAAAGCAAAAACAATGATGTCGTTTGTGGATGGGATGCCAAGGAGCATTTAGTGGAGGGAGGGCGGTGCAGTTACGCGCGTCGGGGGTCCAGTCCGGCGGGTGGAGCTTGATGCTCCTGCTCCATCCCGGCGTCAATTGGATGCCGGCCCCTGGATTTGATATACATATAATCCCAGCGGTGAGCTGTCAGCCCAAACTGACTGCTGCAGTCAAACTGTCGGTCAATCAGCGATAGCAACGTGCAGAGTGTAAAGGTCGTCATACCACGTCTCTAGCTCAGAGGACAAGCCAGAAGAAGTCTTGATTTCTAAGAGCAAAGAAGAGCGGCAGTCAATCAGAATCTGACGTTCCAGACCAGCCTGTCGATCAGCCTTGGCAGAAACACTGAACCGTTGCCGAGAGCCGCTAGCTTTGGCGACGTCATCGCGCTTGAGAGCTGTCATTGGCAAGAAAGACGCTGGCAGAGAGTGAACAGGACACGATGGACAGCCGACATATCAGATGGCATCTCTTTCAAGTTGAAACAAAAATCGAGGTAACCGCGCGCGGCCAACAGTCGACAAATGAACAGCTCGTGTTGTTTCGTTGCATGGACCGACGCTCGATAATCACTGGCGATTGCAAGGGTCTCCAAGCTCTCGGCTCTGACTTGGCTCCCCACAGCGCTGCGGCGGTGCCAGCATCCCTGTTTTAAGGCTGCTTGCTTTCGAGATCGGGATCCACGGCAAGGAGCAGGACGTCGTGTTTTGGGTTTTAAAGCTTCCTCTCTGTATCCCTTTGCACTTTTTTTAGGGTTCAGGAAACACAACGATAATGGCGTTGAAACGCTTCACCCGTCTGCTTTGGGCAACGTCCCTCAGCATTAGCCTCGTCACCGGCCAGAGCATCGAACAGAACACCGAAGAGGCCATTACCTACCTGACTGGTACAAAAAGCGGCACTATCCCGCTCAACGGTGCTACGCCCACCGGAACCTACCAAACCTTCTCCTCCAAGATCACGCTTGCGACGACCTCTCTTCCTACTTCGTTGGGGGTTCTGACAGCAAACTATACCGAGACAGATCTTGTAACCACCCTTACAGGCTCGGTCACGTCTTCTGTTGCTACCACCTCCACGAACGGCACTGCATCCTCGACAGTATCCACCCCACCACGACCGACGAACACTCGGCCGTGCAACAATTACCCCGAGCTATGCGAGCGCAAATACAGCAACATCACCGAAGTAGGGTGCCACAACTCGCCCTTCGTTCGTGCCGGCTCGGCCGCTGCCAACCAGCAGTATAATGTCACCGATCAGCTCAACGATGGAATTAGGTTCCTCCAGGGGCAGATTCAGTTCCCAGTCAACGGCACCCAGCCACACTTCTGCCATACCTCCTGCGATCTGTTCGACGCTGGCCCTATCACGGACTGGTTAGGCAAGGTTCGAGAATGGGTGTCTGCCCATCCTTACGATGTCGTCACCATCCTGTTAGGAAATGGCAACTACTCGAACCCAGACTTATACGTCCCCTGGATCGAGCGTAGCGGAATTCTACAATACATCTACACACCTCCGGTCATTCCAATGGCGCTGGAGGACTGGCCAACGCTGGCCCAGATGATTTTGACGGGGCAGAGGGTGGTCATGTTCCTGGATTACAATGCCAACGCCACTGCCTATCCCTGGCTACAAGACGAGTTCTCGGCCATGTGGGAAACGCCCTTCGATCCACTTGACGATACCTTCCCATGTACCGTTCAGCGCCCACCAGATCTGCCAGAGGATCAGGCCAAGAACAGATTGTATCTCATGAATCACAACCTCAACGCCGAGGTGTCGTTGCTGGGGCAGTCAATCTTGGTGCCGGCGGTTAGTGCGTTGAATACCACCAACGCAGCGTCAGGGAAAGGCAGTTTGGGCATGGCAGCGGCGAACTGCCGGGATCAGTGGACCCGGCCACCAAACGTCCTGAATGTGGATTATTACAACTACGGTGACTACCCAGGGAGTGTCTTCGAGGTAGCAGCAAGGATGAACAACGTGACCTTTGTCAAGAGACCTTGCTGTGGGAGCACCAGTGCTGGGTTCAGGCGAGTTCAGGGAGTAGAGAGGGGGTTGGGCCTCGGCCTGGTGCTTGGATGGGGTGTTTGGCTGTTGGTTGGATGATGCAGACACAATTTTGGTTTTTGGTTTTTGACAACTGAGCATTGCGTGGCGTTGGGGAAATATTTGGCTTTTATACATACATTATATTGGTAGACAAATCGAGATGTACAGTTAGATGGGTGATGGAAAGCTTCTCAGGCGCCCTTGGACAGAGGTGTATATAAACTTGGGAGAAATAGTTCGCTTTATCTTCAAACATATCGTCTCTTCGTTCTTGTCGTGTATCATCCTCGAGTAGCAATCAATCTCGACCCAACAAACTTTGACAACAGAACGCAAGGCCACAAAAGCCAATGGCCCTCCTCGAAATCGCCACCGTCCTCACACTCTGGGCTGCTCTGTGCCTCTATGAAAAGATGACATTTCAATTGTATGAACAGATTGGAAAGGGCAAGCAATGGCACCTGCTTGCTGCTCCCAGACGTAAATGGGGCAGGAGTGGAGAGATTGGTCAATAGACTTTTCCTTATCGTCAGTGGCTTTCCATGCGAAGGTTTTCAAGTCCAGTGTGACTTCCAGCTTGTTATTAGCACATGATAAGTCTGACAACTACCTGCTTATGGCTGGCGGCTTGTGAGTGCCAAGTGTCCAAAACGACAAGATTACGAGTCACAGCTCGCCATCCCGCTCTTGTTCCCCCATCTCGCTCAACACCACAAGCTCCATATCATGAGGCTTGCCAAACTGCGAACACAACACGCAGCCACAACCGTCACGATATAATATATATATAAAATAGCAAACGGAACGCCATGACCAACCTAAACCTGAGCCAGAATCCCTCTCAAAGTCGATCCACGTGGAACAACATATCCCGACTGCAGCAAACCTGCGATAGCATGGATGAGGAATCTCAGGATTACCAACAACAGTCGGAGCAGGCCTTGAGATGTGTTCAGGCATGAATCGACCAGGTGAATCAAGAGAAGTGCGGGGGGAGAAAGGGTATGTGATGAGCCCTGGGGATGATGAGTTCAATGAGGATGAGGTATGCCATAAAAGGATGGCCTGTATTGATGAGTAGCTCGTTCTCTTATGGGAGCAGGGTGCATACCGGCATGAACCACATTATACATTACTAGCACTAGAATATGAAGAGACAGTGCAAGAATTGAATGGGGCTGGCACAACGAAACACGCGCAAGAGGACACTTACGGGAAACCTACTCAGCAGGCGGAGACCATAAACACCACGGCAGGGGTTGATTTCATCAAGGTTTCTTTTTTCACTTTAATGGCGTTGATGACGGGTTTGTGGAACTGGGTTGTGTGACTGGAATTTTTTCGAGTGTTGGAAAGTTAAAAACGATTTAGGTTTAACTTGTTGTTCAGTTTCAAGACTCGGGTATAAAACTCTTCTCCATCGTGCCCTTTTCTGCTTCCCACTCTGCCTTTTTTCATCACTACTCTTCCCTCTTTCATCACTCCTCTTCTCTTTTCCATCACTACGTCCGACACTTGAAATACTCCCAGCTATCATGGGCCGTGGTCACTATACTAAGTGTGCTCGTAAGGACGAGACTACTCAGTCTACTTCAGCAACAGTCAAGACCCCGAAACATACTGCCACGATGCATGATGCTCCCCACAATGAGGCCCAGCTGCCTCGCCCTGTTGTTCAGGCTTCTGTTACCGATGCGAATCAAGCCTCGAACAACCCGGACAACCAGCTCGCCGCCTCTGAGTATAAGCTCCTGGACCTCCTCGGCGACAAGATCAATGCTCTTGGCAGCTTCTTGCTCGACATGAGAGACAGCACCACCGAGACCAACCCCCTCGATCGCATCAACGACGCTGCCGCCGACTTGGCCAACACCCTCCGCGGCCTCTGGGTAGGTCAGGAGACAACCATCAATGATGGCCCACAAACACAAGCCAACCGCCTTCACGACCTCACCAAGCTCCTGTTTCCCCAACCCTCCCCAGCAACAGAAACTATAACCAACACCCAAATCATGGCCAAGCTCGACGAGATCACCAACCGGCTTGCTGACATGGAGGCTCGATCTCAGGGCGAGCTCACGCTTGATGAATTTGACCGTATGATGGATAGATTCGATGATATCAACGAGAGGTTTCATCTGTTGAACAGGAGTGTTGCTGACATCAGGCGGATGCACAACGGTGACTTGCAGACTTTGAGAGACGACTTTTCCATGAGGATGGAAAAGCACCAGAAGGAGGTGGAGGAGCGGTTGGATGAGGATATGGGTGCGATGCAGAAGTACATTCATGACAGGTCTGGCGATTTTATTGAGGACATGGCTGTGAGGGTGAAGGATGTGGTTGGTCGGGAGAGGGAGGTTCAGCTTCAGGAGTTGAGGGGTTCAAAGACGGCTGTTTTGGCGGCTGTTGGGGGAAAGGGGGAGGAGAAGACTGTGAAAGAGGTCCCGACATGTCGATGGTGTCCCAAACCCGTTCCGTTTCCGTTTCTCCAGCCTTGGTATGTCTTCTCTTATGGTTCTCACTCAAGCTGTACTTTCTAACAAACATGAGCAGTGCATGTGAGCGCCAGAGAAAGAGCGATCGCAATCCGAAGCCAACGGGTGCTACTTTCTTGCTCTCCAAGCCACCCGCAGACAGTGGCGTGAGTGTAGGGGTGGACGAAACCACTTCTAAAGCACAGAAGCAGAGATTGCCCCCCGTTACTGGTTCTTTCTGCCACAAGGTCTGTACAGATGTGACTATCAAGTATGTCTTGTCCTCCCCCTATTAACCTTGATCCTATTAACAAGCTCATCCATAGGGAGCACTACACCGAGATGCATGGCTTATTTAGCGCCACTAGTCTTCGGGCGACGCAGCCCGCCGTCAGGAAGCCCTTCTGCACACCCGGCCTTTTCTCAACAACAACCCCCTCCTCCTTGCCGGGAGCGAGCCCTTTCCTTGGCTCCAGATCAACACGCTACCCCGGCATCCCGTCAGGATCCAATATTTATCGCGCACCAATCCAGAACGGACCCAACAACAACCCTCAGGTATCCTCTGTGAGGCCCGACACCTTTGCGCAACAGGAACAAGATGAACCCAACACCTCTACCACCATCCCTCGCCTGCAACCCATGCCTCATGACCCCTCGACCAAGGAACACGGTCAAGGCCGTAGCCTTCCGCCACTCTTTTCCCCTCCGAGACCAGAGTACCCTGGTTTGAGCCTTACCCCTGCTGGGACCTTCTACTCTCCACCGGGCCCCATGCCCAAACCCTCCACCTACCAAGCGTTACCAAAGGATGACATCCCCGCCAACTCCAAGATGAACGCCGCCTCGTCGAGCCACACCTCCACCACCGGTCTTCCACCCAACATCTTCGCTGCACCAGCTAAATTTCCTGCGTATGGAGGCTATGGTAACAAGAAAGATGTCGGGGATAGAAAGATGGGCATTCTGGGAAATGACAGGGGGTCTGGGCTGAGCGAGGTGGGGAAGAAGGAGACGAAGGAGACGAACCCGGAGTCGGTTGCGGCTATGGAAAAGCCGGAGGCGGGTACAGTGGTGGAATGGAAGGAGGTGGAGGCATTGCGGGCGAAGAAGCGGGAGGAGGTGGAGGCATTGTGAGCGAAGTGGGAGGAGTGGGCGAAGAGGGCGGAGGAGTGGGAGAAGAAGAAAAAGAAGAAGAAGAAGAAGGATGAGGAGAAAAAGGAAGAGGAGGAGGGGGAGGAGGACAGCACCGAAGACGACTGGGACAGCCTCGCGGGCAATCCAGACTCCAGCGACATGGAGGACCAAGAAGGCGAGATGGTAGAGCAAGATTCCAGCGAGGATGACTGGTGAGGATATTTTCCTCGGCCTCAACAACACCCAACCAAATCACTTTGGATACCGATAGTTACCTACCTTGCTTGATAGCCCTGAAGAAAGACTCGGAAGAAGCCTCAGGATCGTCAAAGAAAGCCGTCTCCCTTTGGCTGTTCTCCTGGTTATTATTCCTTTTTAATGCAAGCCGGCTATTCATTCGGTATGAACTCTGGCTGGGCTTCTGTCTTGGGCTTTTGCTTGTTCGTTCATGCGGGTTGTGGGTTGTGTAGAAATGATCGAGAAATCGACCAAAGGTGATGGGGGACGGCCAACCTCGTGGTAAGAGCTCAGGAATTTGGGGGGGTGGTTTCTTTTCGGGCATAGCTGCAAGATGGTCTACACGGAGAAAGGATACCAAGGGTGTTTTATTGTTCATGTTGCTTTTCTCTTGTTTTAGATGGTTAGGTAGCAGGCGTGAATTGTTCTCGGTTGAGTGGATTGTGCGCCAGGCCCGGGAAGATACTTCCCGACTGGGGGGGGGGGGGGGGGGGTGGTTCGACTGGGTGGTGGTTGGGTTGGACTGGACTGGGAGGGTGCTTGGGGTTTTGGTTTGCCTGGTGGTATTTGGGTTGTGTAGAGGTAGAGGCCGGTAAGGGATGGTGTGCGGCTGCGGATATAATTTGGATCGCGAACTACTCTTTATCTATCCTTGACAATAGCCGGGTTGCTCTCTTCTCTTTGCTTGTGTTAGCAGCTGTTGTGTGTTAGCAACTGTTGGAGTGATAATAGTGAGTTATGGTCTTTTTGAGGAGGAAGACATAGACATTAAGACCTTTTTGCTATATACATAATAGATGCGCAGATAGATCTCTATTTTTATCTCTTAAGTATACCAGTCTCGAACAACATGAAGCATGAAGCAGGGCTATGGTGTTCAGATACGTGATACTCTTTGTGTCGTATCTCCAACCGGATTGAAAGGCCAGACTACGGCAAACGTTTTTAGTCTTGCTCCGACCTAGAGTTCCCGTCAAAATGAAAAGAGTATGGGTGATAATACTTAATAGCTTATGAGATGATTGCATGCGTAAGAGTCTTGTAGATATCCCAGAATTTTTTTCAGCAATTTGAGCTGAAAATGGATAGCAAAAAGCTAGGTTAACAGATAATAAAAGTTTGGATTATAGACAGAAAAGGCTAGGATTGTGGACAGAAAAATGTAGGGTCAGCAGTTTAAAAGGTTGGGTTAATAAACTTATCTACATGGAGGCTATACGGTATACATATGGGATGTAAATAAGTGATCAACAGTAGACCGGCCGACGGCGCAGCTCACAGATCGGCGTCGGCGTGCCTTTCAATACCTTCCACAGACAGCCACAGCACCACGCAGATCCCGATCCCACTCCCGGAAGGCCACAGGCCCGGGCGGGGCATCTACCTGGTCTCCGTTTCGGCCATCTTCCTCTGTTATACGTGCCGGCGTGCATCTCCCATCAAGACCTCTGCATGTCTAGAGTTGAAATCGGGGGTGCTGTGCCGCAATCCCCCCAACTTCATTTTTGGAGAGTCGTTGGAGTTGGGGATCTGAAACGAAACATCATCTTCTCCCAAAGCCCCATAAGCCTTCGGCCCGACCCAACCAACCCACACTATTTGGCCTAATCATATGGCCGCATCGAAGCTGCAGAGCATAGCCCTACGATGCCATTCTGGACTCGGCGATAATGCGCATCGTCATCGGTGTGAGCGGTCAGGAACAGGTTGTGTCAAGTGCCGGAGCCAAGAGGAAGTGCTGTGCCTCGGTCAGGAGTGTATCGGCCTTGTTCTCCCCAAAAGAACAGCTGTCAGACTGATGAAAACAAGTGACATCACCGCCGCGACATCTTCCCGTCCTTCAAACAGTCAACAAACCTGCTCCTGTTGTCGTTACCATGTGAAGTTCCCACTCCCCCCCTGGCACCACTATCTTTTTCCCGCGGCTCAACCACCCCTGTTGTTAAGTCGTTACCGGCAAAAAGTCAACAAAAACGCTTATCTTTCTGCCTTGCCTGCCGCCCGCTCCGTCATCCGCGGCCTGATTTTTTCTCACCGAGCCCTCGGTTCGAAGGAAAGGAATACAACTTTGTAATGTAACACCGGTGAAGAATTCTTCACCTTGGTGCGGTGAGTGGAGAAATATACGGAGCATAAAAAAAACGGTGGACGCAATGGAACGCCAGGATTACGCGATCGGATGGCAGACCTAGAAGGAAGGTCCAGGAACTTGTACTGCTTGGTAGCGGAAGCGATATGATAAATGCAAGAAGAGATATTTTTGTGAGGCTTGTCGTGACGGTGGCAGTCGAGGAGGAAAACCGGGTGATTTACGCCGAATTCTGGCAAAAAGTCACGAGGGCTGAAGGCAATGTGTCTGTTAATTGTCAGTAATTGTACTGTGTTGACGGCAAAGTGAAGAATCAGATATGAGCAATCTGTTGTTTAATACGGCATTTGCTTCTTCCCCAGCCCCCTCCCCTTGATCAACATCGACCAGGGATGGGTGAGGAGGATATTGATTGCTTTCGACAGGCAAAAAACGTGACACATGGCCATCCATTTCTGAAGCCGGAGGAAGTTGACGGAACAGAGGTCGAGAACAGCCGAAGGTGGTCAAAGTCAAATGACAAGCCGTCTCTGCGTGGATCCACGACGCGGCGATCAAACAAGACGTGGGAATAGAGTCTTCTGTTGGGGGAAGATCGCTGCTCTTGGCGCAGCTCCCGGGAGACGGGAAAATCTGGGGAAGCGGTCAGGGCAATCTCCAGCCAAGGGAGCCAAGCACGCGCCCGGGGAAGCACTGTTCGCTAGCCGGCAAACGGCGCCGATTTTCCTGACAGGGTTGGAAATGGCACCCCGAGGTTCCAAAGTTCCAGAGTTCCAGAGTTCCAGAAGCCTTCTTGAAACGGCCGAGTGCAACGGCATGAAGCCATCCATGAGAACATCATGCCTTTGACATCAGATGAAGTGAGAGAGTAAACATTCCGAGAGGGCCACTGGAATTGTGTCCGATCCAGAGGAAACTGACTCAGATGGGGGATCAAAAGGGATAACCCCCACGGATGCGTGTGCTGGATGCTTGCTGACAAGGTACCGTTGGTGCCGACCTGCTTGCGCCGCCTTCATCACCCACAGAAAGGAGAAAATAGGTACGTGGGCGGCGTCGTCGTGTAATCTGAGGGACCTCAAAAAGGTTCGACCGCCGTGGAGACCGAGTTCATGTTCATGCGCCGCCCCCCCAACTGTCCAACTGTCGGAACATGCTTGGGTCCTCGGCTGATCGCGATCCAAATCCAATTGCAAGTTCCAGCTGCTCAAGCCGCGCCAATCCAATCTGTGGCCAGCAGGATTTGTTAGTGTCGGAGCGAGGTGCCGCGAAAATCCATGGAGCGATGGAAAAAGAGAATGGTCGGTGAGCTGTGGCACCACACTCAGGCTGACACGGTCGGTTCGTACACGCCGCAAGGGGAAAATGGAAGATGGAACGTGTCACGGACAGGATGAGGCAACAGTGGAAAGAAAAAAAAGGAGCTGAGTCAAACAAGTCTTCCCCACATTTCCCCATCCATGTACCACACTCTCTGCTGTACCCCAGACGGAATTTCCGGTGCCTCCAAGGCCTGCACCCCACTCTGAACATGGCTCCCCACAGAGATTTTATAGGGCGCATCAACTGCTGCTCTCACTCGCTCCGAAGAGGCCGCAAAAACACCATGACCACGACAGGCTGAAGACCCGGTCCTTGGCACCACGTTAGACTGTCGTCGGCAGTGTGCTAGCTCTGTCTCGTGTCCTCTCATTTTCCCAAACACTGACGCCTTCGGTGGTGACGGCTGTGGTATGGAACGCTCGGAGAGAGGGCAAGCACAGCAGCCCCCTTTTGTCCTTGTCATCCGATCTCACCATTGGGGGGTTGGCCCCCAAACAGCGCAGCCCTGTCGCTGTATAGGGTACCCAAGGAAACGGTGAACACGCTGAAAGCATTCCACCTCAACGAATGTGGAAAAAAGCAGCAAAACAAACAAACAGCAGACGGACAGACAGACGGCGAAAGAGAGGAGGTTGGAGGTGAAAACTCTGCTCCTTCTTTTGTGTTTGCTTTTTCTGTTTTTGTTGCTGGCTGGTTGACATGTCCGTTCCCGTCCCTCGCGGGCAAGACACCTCGGACCTTTTGGATTTCTTCGGGCTTTCTGTGTCGTGAAAAAGTACAAGGTACATCCACGGAGCCGTGGGAGCCATCCCACCTTCCCCAGAATTCCACAGTTCCCACTGGGCCGCCCCGAGAATTCTCATCAATCTGGCCCCCCTGTCTGCCTTCTCCCCTGCTCCCTGTCCAGAGGCCAGGTCGGTCTGGTCTCTTGCTTTTTTTTCCCTGGCCGGGCCTGCTACATAAAGAGTCTGTTGGTCTCAGGACTCCCCAGCTGTCTTTCTCTGTTTCTTTTCTTACACTGCCTCAAGCAACACAGGATATCTCCAAGAAAACACATTAATACCCAAGCCTTGGTCGCTCTTCCTGCCCTTTGCTTGTCTCAACACACTTGCCTTCAAACAAGTCCGCCATATCAAGACCATCAGACCTCCTCCATACTACCCTACTCCTGACCATCAAGATCTTCAACCCTCACCTCACCAACATACACACACACACACACACACACACACAAACACAAACACAACACAAGCATAATGCCTGTCTCTCAGATCGCCGCTCCAATCCCCATCCCGGCCGCGCGCCAGCCTCTGGGCCTCATCACCACCCAAGAGCTCTTCGCCAGCCTCAACGCTACCCTCCAGTCCAAGTCCAACCAGCTTGTGACCCCGATCCACCACATCCAAGAAAACGACTACTCCGTCCCGGCCGCCCCCCCACCATCCCCCATCGGCTACAGAGACCACTGGCCCGCGTCCATCCGTCGCTAAACAGCCTTCTCTCTTTACTACATCTTTCGGACAAGGCGTTGATGGCTTCTTGATTTCATGGATGGGATGATGATGAGCAGACCGGATGCGGAATAATTTTTACTACAACTTTTTTTGTACACCACCACCAACAACAACAACCACAACAACAACAACAACAATACTTCACTTTCACAACAACTTACACTACCACCATTCCGGTCTGCTCTTATCACACGGCGTTTTTTTTGGGTGGTTTGGGAATTATGGGGAACACAAAGCAAGCAAATGCTATTCACGTGAGCAAAGCATGGAGTTGGATCATTAAAACATTCGGGATACCTATCAAAGGTCGGATCATGGGATTATTCGACTGAAATTGGGGATAATTGTTTTTTGTTGTTGTCTGTCTTGTTACTATTACTACCAAGGAAGGGGGGGATCATTCCCTAAGAGGGATTAGTTGAATTGAAACGCAGCTTCACTATTTACCTACCTGCCTTACCTAACCTGTCAAAGAAGATCGTGACTACCTGTGATGTGATTGTGATGGACCTATACACTAACAAAGGTGACAGTGATGATCTTGCATAAAAGGGTCCATGTGCGCGCTGTTGAAGAAGAACACTAACAAGGTTGAGCGGCAAACTCGGGTCTCTTTCTTCAGTTCTCACTCTGTTGGTGTAAGTGGAGGCAAGGTTCAGTCAGACCTGGGGTTGGACAAATTTGCAAAATGAGACACCAATGAGAGTTTGTGGACTCTTTTAGATTGACCAACGAGGAGGAAGTTCACATTACACGAGCACTTCACCTAAACCAGACCAGGGCCCAGAACAAGTGATTGTCGTTGATGGAACTGGGGGAAAATACGGGGAAGGGAACATGAGTTGTGGGGTTGGTGAGCGGTGACTGTCTACTGTGGGCATATCACAGAGGACGGGGCTGCAGGTAGAAAGTTGAATGGTTGATGTTGGTGAAGAGTGAGCCAACCAGAGGGTAGTCGGTTCAAATGGACCTATCAAGGGTTTTCGGGGGTGAAGGAGGCAAAATTGTGTTGAATCCATCGATTTCTTCAACCAACAGAAGACCCAAGATGAATTAACACTCCGGGGTAAAGTAGATTCTCACAACCGGCCCGTCTTGGAGGTAACATCGAGCCTCCTCCAATCATGACGGCCTTGGGTGAAAGAGAATAGCTTCAACGGTCGCCGTATCTCGTATCCGTAATCCATGCAACTCTTAGTCCCCCGAAGAGATAGGTAGTGCTCTGATATCGATAACCTCACCAGCCGAGTTACTCTGTGTCCATTCTCGGCACATCTCATGCCCGTCCTATTCCTAGACCGCTTGTCAGCACATCAACCTGACTCAAGACGGCGACCCTTCAGCATGAATCCTACAGATCAGCCCAAGATAAGGTAGAGAGACAAACTACCAGAAGTGCAAGCTGTAGGTAAGCCGCACACGAGCATGCAAGCACTACCGCCCTCTTCAAGCGCCGCTAGCGTCATAACTTTTAACCTCACATATACCTAATGTAGGTACAGTATGATCGATCGGGAAAAATGCGCAGACCGCGGCGGCCGCGGCTGTAGACTACCTACCTTAGGTACCCTACACACTCCCATAAAACGGGATCTTCGGATCCCACCTCCCCGCACACGGCCACCCCCCTCCCCCCCCCCCCTTCAAAGAACCTCCATCTCTTACAAGATCAGAACAAGTATAACATCTCCCCACCCCCCTCCGGTCCGTCAAATGCCCATCTTTGTTTCCCGACGCCGATGCCGATAAGATACCTACCTACCAGGTACCGGACCCAGGAAGGCTTCTTTTGGTCACCGACAACCGTGAACTTTATAAGCCCGCCGAAGGGACCGATGCCGACAGGTTGCATCAGTTGTACATTGACGCATGCCGCAGGTGGTGTGAAAAAAAAAAAGAAAGCGTGGGGGTCCTTTTCTATCATCTCTTGGTCATCGGCATTTTTCGAATTCCCTATCTTTTCCCATCCTGAGCACATCGGGAATAGCTAGGACGGGTGAGTAAAATGTAAAAGATAGGTAAAAAGCATGCTGGAACTCGCCGCGGAAAATATGTCTTTAAAAAGTGACATCAAAAGCCTTCCGTAGCACAAACTCCCGCTGTTCTTCAGCTGTTTCCTCTGTGAAAGACTGACACAAGGTCGATCTCCCGGCTTCCGAAACCTTCTCCTCTTCTAAAGCGAGTCTTGTGTGCGCAAAATGTCTCGAACAAATTCTCGTGTTTTTCTCGTGTTGCTGGAAGCTTCCCTGCCGAAACCCCCATATTTCGTCTTGTCTTGGCCATGACAGCACTATCCTTCGGTTTCTAGAAAAAGAGATCTGTGTATCGTGATGTGTAACATGAGGGAAATTCCACCATTTCCCCACGACGCGCGCGGTTGACGTGGGATATGGAAAGGCCCAACGACAACTTGTACTTCAAGAACGTGGAGAGGTGGGGGGTTCGTCAAATGCCCACATCCGATCAACCTGCCATTGACACTCGTGGGGGTCATCACCTTGCCGTTGGGGGTCAAAAAAAGAAATCCCAAATGGGGGGGGGGGGGGGTCAGAAGTAACGTGTGTGACAGCTGAAGAAACCCGGAGGGGCTTGTGATATCGACTTGATATCTGTCTGGTTGTCACGAGATGTAGGGAGGGAAGTACACTATACTTCCTGCTTTTCCATCGTACCAATCGATCAACCGATCGCGCAATCTCCGGAACACACAAACCGTCCAGTCTGAAGGGCCACCTCGCGGTCCAAGTTGGTGTAGTAATATATATTCCATTTTCAAATTCCGAAAAAAAGAATTCGCATCGCTAGTATTCGTTTCGCTATCGTCGCACACACACACGCGCGCGCGGTCGGTCATGGTATCCATCATTCGCTCCCTCCTCCTTTCCACCCATCATCCATCCAACCGTTATTTAAAGCTTGGCCTCCTCCTTCAGCGTGCCCACCTTCAACTTGGCTCCCCACTTCTCCATGACGCCCTTGGAGTGATACTTCCAGAACTGCTTCGTCGCGTCCTTGCCGGCCATGCGCTTGAGGATCTTGGCTCCGCCTGGGTGCTCGTTGACAAAGTCTAGAGAAGAAATCGATTAGCCATACCATCTTTCATTATGTACTGTCACCGCAAAGAAGAAACATACTGGCAATCTCATAGACGCCGTCGTCAATGATAATATACATGGACTTGTCGTCCTTGTGCTGGGCAACCTCGGCCTTGGTGATTTGAGCAGACATGTTGACGGTTTTGGCTTGGGAAGATCTTTCGAGGAGAACTGAAGTGTACTGCAGATGTCGTGAAGATCGAGAGAGTAGAGTAGAGAGCGCAGTGTATAGTTTAAAGATGAAGATGCTTGTTAATCCCTTCAAGACAAGTGGTTGTTGTCTTCTGGAGGATCCCCACCGACGATGGCTCGGCTGGGAGGTCCCCCAGATCAACCTCGGCTCGGCTTAGCGATGGCAGATGTGCGCGTGCACCGCCAAGAACTTGGGGAAGAGTCGAGAATTGTGGGGAATGAACCTCCCCCGCAGACGTCATAACCGATCCCCGGATTTGGTGAGCCGATCTGGCCAGGAACAGGAATTTTGTGTACTAGTGTTGGACATAGAGATGGGTTGTAGCCACTGGTGGTGTGCATGATTATGTGTACTCCTCCTAGGGATTTGTCTTTTCATAGCCAAGCCAAACGTCGATTTAAGCCTTCTTTTTACCAAAGTGGAAGCCTCTTCACGCCCCGATGTAACAACAACCACCCCTATACATGATGTGCCGCCTGACTCGAGTATGTCTTCAAAGGCACTTTTCTACAACAATTTGCTTGCCTCTCAGCCAACCCCCTCTTGCGTATTCCGTTGCACCAAATCGAGTAAGGGAACTTGGAGTCCAAAGTGAGGTAATTCCTGTTGCAAGACACCTTGTTCACCTATCCCTCAAGGTTATACGCCTTCTTCGCTGTCCCGCTCCAGACCATAGCCTGGTCTTTTTGACTGAGACCCGCCATATCACACATCATGTCGACAATCTTGTGCCACTTCTTCCAAGCCTCCTCACCAACACCAACTGTGCATACCGGCCAGTTGCTGCCAAACATGATTCTCTCTGGGCCAAATGCAGCAATAACAACGGCGAGCCAGGGCAGGATCGCCGAGAAGATTTGCTCAGCAGATTGTGTCTTCAGTGAGTCTGACATTTCTTCAAACAGCCCACTCAGCTTCATGTAAGTGCGGCGGCACTTTCCAAGTGTGAACATGGCGCTCCTCCTATTTATCTGGTCAGTCATTTGGTCATTCATTTGAATCAAGAAAATGAGCATACCAAGCAATAAATGACGGATCAGTCTGACTGATGATTGTCAGGTCGGGCTTGCAAAAATGATCTGTCTCTCCGTTAGTATTCTTCAATGCCAGCCCCTTCCCCATTCAAAACTCACTGATAATGAACACCACCTTCTTGTCTTCATCTTTCACACCATCATGAGCCCGATCAATAATCTCCACCAGCTCCTCCAACTGCACCCTCCCTCTCCTGTGCTGGTCGACGCCAGCATCAAATACCCAGCCCTTCTCCCCCAGCAACTTCAACCCATCAATGAACTCCTCTGTCAACCCTGTCTTGTTCGGCTTGTCCTGCAACAAATACCGGAAACCTTTCACCTTTGCCCAAGCAGCCTCCCCAGCTTGTTCCTCCACAGTAGCAATGTACTCCTTCAGCTTAGGCAAGCCAGAAGCAATAGGAGCCCAAGGAATGATTCCCAAACATAGCTTGGCATTATCAGCAGTATGGCCTTCACCCTCCTGAGGCTTGCCCTCGATGATCCGACGCATCCAAGCTAGCTCATTCAATGGTTTTGACCAGTCCTTGGAGTCGTCATTTTTGCGGTCGGCCTCAATGTAAATGAAGCCAGAGAGCTGAGAGGCGGATGAGCTGGTGGCTTCACGGTACTCTGCGATGGAGTGGCGGGTTGCGAGGGGCGAGTCTGAGGCGTACCAGTTGTGACTGGGGGCTTCGGCTTCGTTCCAGAGGTGGATGTGGGAGTCGATGATGGGGATGGACATTTTGGATAGGATTGATAAGGGCTAAAAGGAGATGGGTGTAGGTCGATGAGATGATCTGTTTGTTGTTTACGATGATAGATGTATGTTGATGTTGTTGATCAACGTCGGGTCAACCCTCACCGACATCTGGCTGGGCACACGCAAAGAGACCCCGCTTGCTGCAGTGGCAGCTGCTGGGTGGATGGTGACTTCCCATTGAGAACTACACAATTTAGTGTATGGCAGGTGGGATGATAGTTGTGAAGTGGTATCATCCTATTAAGAGACGGGGGTCATATCTGATTATTCGACGTGATATCTCCATACTGTCACGTTGCTGCAGCTTGATACCTTCAAATCAGTACCTGATGTCAAGATAGGAGAAGCTTCCAGGACAGTGCAGCTAACTGGTGCCTAAATAAACACTGTGCCGACGCCAACGCACGGCCCCACTGCCAGCAAACTTCAAGCAATTAAACTCTTGCCCCTCGACGCGTTCTGCCTGGCAAGACGCGGTCACCCAACGCGACCCCTCCAGCAATTATTCCCAACTCCACGACATCATCCCAGACTTGTTGTTTTCCAAACCGGCAGATACCCCTTCAACGCCTAATTTGACCGGGCCAAAACCACACGATAACGAACAAGAGCAACACAAGATGGCGGAGCAAGCGATCACACAAGGTGCTATAGAGTAAGTACCCGATTCAAGGTCCAAGGCTTTGATACTGACTTAACCAACTCAAACAGAGCCATCTTTTCCGATCCTGAGCGCGCCCGTGCCCAGTATCCCGTTCCGGTTCTGCAGTGCCTCCAGATCAAGACCCTCGACTCAAAAGGCGGCGGTGCGCCAGAACGATACCGCATCGTCCTCAGTGATGTCCGTAACTATGTGCAGTGCATGCTGGCCACCCAGGCCAACCATGTCGTTCACGAGGGGAAGCTCAAGCGTGGAGGAATCGTTCGCATGAAGTCATACCAAGCCCAGGCCCTCAAGGGCAAGAAGTGCGTCACCGCTGTTTCCCACGGTCATACCCTTCAGCGTTTGCTAACTTCTGAACAGCGTTCTTATAGTATTAGAGCTCGAGGCCATCGAGTCCCTTGGTGCGCCGGACAAGATTGGAAACCCTGTTGGCTTGGAAGGAGGAGCGAAGCTTGAAGAAGCTCAACCTGCTGCTGCTGCTGCTGCGCCTGCCTTTTATGGTGCCCCCAAGGGCGAGCCGACCCAAGAGTCCAAGTCCCAGGTCCAGAGACAACTGGCGTCACGCCCCAACAACAACAACCACAACAACAACACTCGCACCAGCGGAGGTGTCAGCAGTACCATCTATCCTATCGAGGCACTATCCCCCTATGCTCACAAGTGGACGATCAAGGCGAGACTCACCCACAAGTCGGACATCAAGACATGGCACAAAAACAACGGCGAAGGAAAGCTTTTTAGCGTCAACTTGTTGGACGAGAGCAGCGAGATCAAGGCCACCATGTTCAACGATCAGGTCGACCAATTCTACGATGTTCTTCAGGAGGGCCAAGTGTACTATATCTCTGCACCCTGCAGAGTCCAGCTTGCGAAGAAGCAGTTCAGCAACCTTCCCAACGACTACGAGCTCACGTTTGAGCGGGATACAGTTGTCGAGAAGGCTGAAGATCAGAGCTCAGTACCACAGGTTCGGTTCAACTTCTGCAACATCCAAGAGCTCCAAAGCGTTGAGAAGGACGCCACGGTTGATGTTCTCGGTGTGCTCAAGACGGTGCATGAGGTCTCATCGATCACATCCAAGAGCACTCAGAAACCATACGACAAGCGTGAGTTGGAGCTGGTGGACCAAACTGGCTACTCGGTGCGTGTTACCGTTTGGGGCAAGACAGCTACCGAGTTCCAGGGCAAGCCGGAGGAAGTCATTGCGTTCAAGGGCACCCGTGTCAGTGACTTCAACGGCAGGAGTTTGTCTCTTTTGTCATCTGGCACCATGGCCATTGACCCTGATATTCCAGAGGCCCATGCTCTCAAGGGCTGGTATGACTCTACCGGCAGGCACAGCGACTTCGCGACACATAGTAACATGTCGTCAGTCGGTGCTGCCTCGGGTCGCACCAACGAGATCCTGATGATCCAGCAGGTGAAGGAGAAGGATGTTGGCTTTGACAAGCCCGAATACTTTTCCGTTCAGGCCACCATTGTTCACGTCAAGCAGGACAACTTCTGCTACCCGGCGTGCCGCAGTGAGGGTTGCAACAAGAAGGTCACCGACATGGGTGACGGCACCTGGCGCTGCGAGAAATGCGATGTTACGCACGACAGGCCGGAGTATCGGTACATCTTGAACTTCAACTGCAGCGACCACACTGGCCAGATCTGGCTGAGCTGCTTCGATGAGCAGGGCAGGAAGTTGCTGGGCGCGTCGGCAGATGAGCTCATGGAGTGGAAGCAGATCAAGGAGTCAGGTGATGCTTCAGATGAGGCCAGGAAGGAGGCGGAGGTTCGATTTACCACTGCGTTTGATAGTGCAAACTGCAGGAAGATGACGTTCCGGGCTCGGGCCAAGATGGATACGTATGGTGAACAGCAACGGTAGGTCTGCTCCGCATGATCTGAAGTTGCTTTTGCATGTGCTAACTGTGGCTCTAGGGTGCGCTATCAGCTTATGGAGGCGACGCCATTGGATTACAAGATGGAAGGCAACCGGTTGGCAGAGATGATCAGGCAGCTGGGTGTGTAGTGTTGTTCAGTGGACGTTGAAGCGAGGCGACGGGGAGGTTAATATGTATTAGAGAGGGATTTGCCTGTTGTTCATGTTGGCCTATTCTGTAGAGTGACCATGTATTGGTGCAATTGCAAATACCATCCCGATTTCATAGCTCCATGCTTTACATCTTTTTTTGACTGGACCCGGGAGCACCACAATGGTTACTCACAGTGCAGAGTTGCCTAGAATGACGAGGAGCGCACTGTGTCATACCCCTGCAGCCTTGCCGGTGGTGGAGCTGAGCTAGGCACCTTCCCCACGTCAATGTTCAATGGCGGGGAGCTTAACCCAACCCTACCTTGACGTCTGGAATCTGGAGCGCTGAACCACTGACAACAACCCGCGCCGATATCGAGCTGTTTTAACACGACCTTCCTTTCAGCTACAACTTGGCCGCAGTTTGCTGGCCTTTGACGCCACTCGAGACACCCATACAAGAGCGAAATTGGGGAGACCACAGCTAGGAGGGGTCGTTCGTCCATCGCCGTCCTCATCGAAAGCGTCCATCCCATCAGCACCACGGCCGACCGACTGTCCCATTCAGAAAGTGCTACATATTAATCCGATGGAATCAACACTCGCGACGCTTGTGGCTTTCCCGTCGGCGGGGCAGCTTGGGGATAATGAGGAATACCACAAGGCGGCGCAAGCACACACGAAGACATTGACGAGGTTGTCGGCCGACTCCAAGTGGGCTTCGGAAGCTCCCCAGCTCATTGAGGTATGCCTGTTTTTGCAGATCTGGGCAATAGATCTGATGTTGCTAACATGAAATTAGCGACTCGATCCAGCTACCCATTCTCTATCCTACCTCTATGTGCTGCAGACCTTGAAATCGTCGAATGGCTACCCTCTCGACGACCTGTTGCTAAAGCTCACCACCTTCCTCACATCATTCGACGCCGGCCAGATTCGATATGCTGGGCATGCGTTCACAAAGCTGTTAACACAGCCACGGCTGCAGGATTTGTTTCCTGTAGGTTCTTGCTGCTGATTCTGTAGCTGTCGCCTGCTGATTATGACGGTCTTAGGCTTCCATTGCGGTCGAACTCATCACCACAGCGCTTCTCCGCCTCGATCCCACCGGGTCGGTTCTCACTAGCCACCATACCTACCTCGTCCGATTTGCCTACATGACCAACAACATCGAGCCTGTGTTGCCCATCATCGAGAAGAGCATCGTGTTCTACCCTGGCATGAAGGGCTCGACAAGCACTCGAAATCTTAGCGATCCCGATCTTCCTCCCTCGGGTTTTATTACTGTCGAAAACGACTTCACCAAATCCTTGGAGAACAAAGACATCCTCGAGCATGACCTCCTGCGCGGGCTTTGCTTTATTCAGAGACGATCCTGGCAGCAAGCTTTCGATGCCTTTGAGCGGGTGATTACCTATCCATCCAGAGACAACACCAACGCGAGCAAAATTCAAGTGGAAGCCTATAGCAAGTGGGTTTTGGTTGGACTCTTGCTCAACGGAAAGGCACCTGTTCTCCCACCTACCACGCCAAACGGGCCACGAAAAGTCTACGAGGTTACGGGCAAACCATACTACTCGTTGGCGCAGGCATTTGAGAAGCGAACAGCGGAATCTTTCAAGACGGAATACGAAGGGCTGTCTCAGGGTTTCTGGGACGAGGAGAAGAATGTTTCTCTTCTGAAGCTGGTGATTGAGCACTATCAGAAGTGGCAGATTTTGAATTTGAGACATGTCTACTCCAGAATCTCTCTCGAGCAAATACGGACTCGAACACAATCCGCCGAGACGGCTGCGCCCTTGGGATCGGTGCAGGAGATCGAGGCGTTGGTCCAGGGAATGATTGACGAGGGCCTCCTGCAAGGGGAGGTGGTGCACCCAGAGAATGGCCTGGCGTATTTGGCGTTTAGCTCTACGGCGGATGACTTGAGCGAGGAAGAGTTCACGAGGAGGATGGTGGCGACTGCGCAGAGGATCAAGGCGCTGGGGCCGGTGGTCAAGGCTACGAATGAGAGGTTGGCAAGTAACAAGGATTACCTGAAGTGGTTGGCGCAGCAGAAGAAGCATGAGCAGCAAGGGCAGAGTCAGGGTGGGGGGCCGGTGGATGTGACGGGTTTTGGGGATGTGGTGGAGGATGAGGATTTGATGACGGGGATTGTGGCCGGCTAGAAGCCTGGTGAAATGATTTTGGAAGGGGATGAAGCATAGTTTTTGAGCAATGGCGTTGGAGAGGGTATGTGTAGGCTGCTTTAGAAGACAGCTGGTTATGGGTAAGGTTTGAGGATAGCAATAGCAAGAGATTATGGACTCTATTTTCAAGTGGAATTATGCTATTAATCGTGAATTTAAACGGAAACATTGTGATTAGTGAAGAATGAGGTCGAAAGTCGTAGTATGCATGTCAACAACTTCAAGCAGCAAGCATCATGGAAGAATGTGCCTCTTGACCAGACCAACAACACCTTGCAGCTGCAGGCAGTATATTAATTAGATAGGTTGATAATCAATAACAGGAGTGGGTTTGATGTGTGCTAATAAATAAAAGAAGGAAGTCGCGATATCCATTCGACCACCTAAAGCAATAGCTTTCTAGTCGAAAGTGCTCCTTAATCAGATGATGAGCACTGTGTAGCATTAGATAGCATGTTTATCAACTGATTCTATGAGAAATGGCAGGAGATTGGTAAAGTGCCCGGTCATAATAAAGCAGAAAGTCGCCAACTCCATCTGGACGACCTTGAGCAGCAACCACCTTGATAAAAAGTACTCTTGAACAGGTTACTGGCCATGATAACCTCGGTCAAAAAATGCCCAATGTAATTCCTTGTTGCTCTCCGTCTTATTTGTGTGCGAACTGTGAAAATTGTGATGGACAGTCAAAACCTCAAGCAGCAGGCAAAGTTGCTCTCCCACCACCATAGCAACACCTCACTTACCGAACAAAGCACACGATTTAGTGGCTTCTCTTGCACTTTTTTATAGATAAGTGAATCAGATAGAATGGATAAAATGTCAAAAAAAGAGACGACCAACTGCTTTGAACCCCAACCACGCTGGGGGCAATTTACCTCGTCCGGAAAAACCCCCACGGGGTTTTTGCCCGAGTTTGGATCGAACTCACTGTGCCCCAAGACCACGCCCTGGGTGTGAGAAACTATCCTAACCTACCACAATCTGACCACTTGACCACGCCGAGGGTCAACTTGCTTCGGTTGGGAGGAAGAATGCGGACATTCTATATGAAGGGTTGGAGGGGGGGTTGGGTTGGTCATGAGTTGTGTCTGGGGGGTGTTGGGGGGTGGGTCAGTGTTGTTGGGGCTCTTGATTGGTCTGTCCTTGTTTATTTGTGGTGTTGGTCGTGTTTGTAGACTTTAATTGCTAATGCTTGGTCGTTGAGCACTTCGTGATCTTCGACTCATGCCACCTCGCTCCCATTTCTGCACCCGACTTCCACTTTTGTACCCATCTTCCACTTCTACACCCATCTCACCGTCAATCACTCACTCGACTATTCCCACCCATTTTAACCACCCACCCACCATCATAGACACATCACAACCACAGCACTCGCACCAACCCACCCCTCCATCACCCATTCCAGCCGTGCCGTCCCTCGTTCACGACAACTACAACTACTCCACTCCCTCTCGAAACACTGCTGAAGCCGTCGGGCCGTCCGCCTGTCCCACAGAACCTTCCGATATAAACACCCACCACGGCCTAGTATGCCATCAAGGGAACCCTGGCAGCCATCGACTACAACTACGACCGCTACAAGTTTTCCGACACTTGCCCTCTGCCAAACCATGGCCATCATTCACCACGATGACCGACCTGTCCCCAGCAGCCCCCCGCTCGACCCTCCTCCTTGATTTTCCCCTCCCTTCCCCCTTGTCCACCACGTCGAAGCTCTCCTCCCGCCCTCCTCCTCTTATGGTGGAAAGCAGCAGCGCCCGCGAGCGGTAGCTGGGTCACGACGCGGTAGCTGGAGGGAACATAAGAGGAGGAAGGAGAAAAGAGAGTGTACAGTACGCTCGAGGAGCGAGAGCAAGCGATGCTCCCCTCTTTCTCCTCGGCTGTTGATAGCGGGACAGCAGCGCAACAGAGGAAGGGGTGTACAGTACCTCGAGGAGTGCGGGGAGCCAGCCGGTTCAACTCTCGTCAAGTCTCCGTCCGTTGAGATTATGTTGGGATCTCGAAACAAGGAAGTGCGTCGAGGCGAGCGAGGGAGAAAAGATATTGATAACTGATGTTAGCACGACATCCTAGCTGTGCAGAAGGGCAGAGGGGGGCTTATGCGGTCAAAGGTGGGATCGTACAATAAGAGTGAGCCCGTATGCGGGGTGGGTATAGGAGATGACACTTGGTTGGGAGGGGGGGAAGGGGCGTTTGACTTGGTGGTTTTTAGGTTCGATAGTAGAGACTGTCTTCACGTAGGACAGATCACGTCACAGTTTTTGCGACTCACTTACACTGGCTATCTGTTGATAGATATTATATGTCATGGAAAGAGCTGCCGGAATACGGTGGTCGTCAGTAAATGGATACAGGACGTCGAAGACTCAAATTATAAGATTTATGGGTGCTTCTTGTCTCCCAAAGTGGATGTGTCCAAGTCAACAACGGGTGAGTTAATCCAACTTTGGGCTGTTCTTTTTCATGTCGCTGTGAAGCGGGCAGCCAAAACAGCACGGATCCTGTTGAATGCCTTATCCACGACATACCTTCAAAACTCCACACATCTCAAAGTCACCTTCACCACACACTCCAGAGTCACCTTCACCACACCACGCCACACCACAACACACCTCACCCCAATGGCCAAAACCTCACAAAATCAGAGAACTTAAACTCTATGTCAACTACCCTAACATACACATCTCCCAAACTATTCCCATGCGTGAGCACAAAGCTATTTAATGCTTCCAAGATAGAAAATATAAGCAAAAAGAAAACGACAACAAAAACCCACAAAACATTTCCCCGTAATCCATCATCCATAACCCATATTTTCTGAACATATTCCATACTGATCCTTGTTTCCATGCAATTCCAAACCCATTTTATCGTCATCAAATCATCGCCCTATTTCTTGTTCTCATATCCATCAAGCCCTACCAGGACTAATAATCATCATACCCGTAACACTCCTCCCCTCACTCACAACCGAATTCCTCTCCGAATCCTCATCATTGACCTCGCCGTGGCGGATAGGCCCAGGGCGTCTCTCTGAGCCGACAGGACCAAAGTTGGGAGGCGGGTGGTCTATAGCCAAGTTAGCTTTGGGTCTTAAAAGTGACCGAGGTGTGTGCGTTGTGATAAATAGTACACTCGTACTCCAAAAAACAAAAACGAAATCAAAGCCACAAATCCATCAAACCGCCCACTTGGGCGGATTAAACCGAGGCAACCAAGCCCACCGTCACCTTAGACGCAATAATAACAGACAAATAAACCACCTCAGCTATCCGTGACAAACACATGCCAAAGTTGAACTGGAACATGCCTCTCGGGGATCGGACAGCCAGGACCATGACTAGCCCACCCCAGAACGTGTTCATCTTCGTCGTGATCTTGATAGTGTTGTTATAGCGATGGGAGGATGTGGTCGTCGAGATGTCCAACAACTAACCAAAAGCTCGTCTAGACTGAGACGGTCGAAGCTTAGATAGTGTAGAGGTGACGAGAGAAAGTAATCTCCAGTGATAAACTTTGTGTTGCCTCTCCGATAATCGCGTCCCTAATAATACCCCAGAAAAGAAGGGGACAGAAATTTTGATTTGTGTAAAGAGCTGTGACAAAGACTTCTCATTCCATTGACAAAAAGTCTGGCGAACTGCGATCTTCCACAAAGTTGCTCTTTCCAAGCAGGTTTGACCATGCTTTCCGCTGGGAAGTAAAAGTCGACTTGGTAACTAACGATTGAAACATCAGGCTGGCGAATATTTCTCGCGGTCTTGAGGAGATCAGAAGACATCCGGCAGTCGAATGTCTCCATGAATGTCGAAGACGGTGGACTCTTGGTGTTGCGAGGGTATGATGTCCATAATACCAGTCAAGCAAATTGAGATGTTGAAGAAGGATCACAGAGACGGTAGTCGATGCAGGGCGCAAAATTGTGACAAGCAGTTGGAGGATTACTTGGTCGTAAAGGCCGTTGACGAAGTCGTATTTTCGGGTTGTCGTGCGGTTGTACCCCCTCCACAATCTCCACACACTGATGAAACTTCACCAGCGACACAAACATCCCAAAAACCACATTATTCACTCGGTCAGTACACAACTACAACTGCACTCGCAGACACCTAATCACATCCCGCCCAATCGCCCACACCCCTTCAACGCTCTCAAACCGCTTGGGGTATATACTATACCGCGGGGTATTCTTCTTTATATAAGCAAACGAAAACGCCAACCGCACCACCTTCAGATTAGGCCAGCAACAAAAAGAAACCACACCATCTGCTCATTACCCCGGGGCCGGGTTACGCTCTCTCCAGTTGGTAGAATGGAAACCAGACTCACTCCCAGTAGAAGAAGAACCGCGGCGCATACCAGATGCGCTCCCCACACCACTTCCACCACTCCCACTGTCCCAGCGCGACCAGCTCGAACCATATCGTCTGTGACCACCTTCAGCACCAGCACCGGCGCCAGCGCCAGTGCCGGTGACGCCACCAGAACCGCCCGTAGCAAACCTTCCACCAACGGAAACACCCCCACCGCGCTCCAGAGGACCCCGCTCGCTCTCGCGAGACAGCTCTGCCTGCCTCTTCTTCCACCAGGTAGGCAAACCATGAAACAGCCCCAAACTGTGCTGTGTGGCCTTGTCCATAGGCATCTCGTGCTTGTACTTGCATCCTTGTTGAGTGAACGCGCAGGTGCCCTCGTGAACCCACTTGTCGCAATAGACCTTGATCTTTCTAGGCTGTGCGGCAGAAGGGGAAGTCGGACCGGAACCGGTAGTGGCGGCAGCAGAAGAAGCCTGAGGATCAGACGCGAGCAGGATATGGTCAATACGGTTCTGATACGAGTCTCAGTTGGATTGGGCTGGATGGGCGGGAGAGATCTCCAGGTGATTATGAGGAAAAAGAGAGGAAAACTGCTTACCTGGATGGGGTCTTGATGGCGATTAGGGGGGGACTGTTCACAAAGTCAGCATCAGGCAGGAGAAAGAGAGCAGTGACGGGCTAGGGTTGGTGGGGGTTGAGGGCTGAGTGCACAGACCATCACCCGTCACCCACCCAACAAGAAAAGGGGCAAGTAAATAAACACTAGAATGGAACGTACCTGAACAACCGCCCGCTCAATATTGCTATTCTTGCAGAGTCGGTCCATACCGGTGGGAATCACCAACTCAATCAGCTTGTCATTGTCGTTCTCCGAAGGCGGAAGCCCAACGAGCGAGAATGGGAGCATGTCAACGGGCACCAGTCGGGTCCGGCTGCCGTCAGGGCGGACAAAACAGTATCCCTGGGTATCAGGGCCGATGGTGACCAGATACTGGCTCTGGTACTGAGCCAGATCCCAGTTCTGGGGGCGCGGGGCGGGGATCGCCGGGGGAGCGGTCGTGGTTGGGGTCGTGGCCGAGCCACCACCACCGGCAGAAGACGAAGGGACTCCGTACAGCCCCCGGGGCTGGGATGTCGGGGGCGAGAAAAGATTGCCAGTCCCAGCATCACCCATCATTCGCAGATGGGCGAGCTGGCCTTGGCGGGCGGCCGCGGGGTCAGAGAGCGACAGAGAGGCGAAACCAGACGGGTCGACAAAGCTGGCAGCACCAGAGAAGCCGACGGGCGAGAAGCCGGAGCCACCGGCAAAGTCACCAAAACTGAGACCGGCAGAGATGGTCGGAGTGCCAGGCGAAAAGATGCCGGTGACGGCGGATGGGCCGGGGAAAGGAGTGAACTGCTGCCGGGCAGCAGGGGACAGGACGGCGGGGCGGGTCGGGGCAGAAGAAAAAGACGCCAAGGTGGGAGAGCGCGGCGCAACAGGCGAAGAGAAGCCAGGGTTGTACCCCTGGGAGGGGCCAGCAGCAAAGTTGCCATTGGCGGGAGCAAGGACCGCGCCCAGAGAAGGAGAAGAGGTTGTATCTATATACTGATCAGCTTGGCTCAGATGATTGAGGCTGAATAGATATATACCATTGCCGGTCCTGGGCTGGGGCGGGGACTGCGCTCGCTGGCGCCAGTTGTCAATGCCTGGAAGCATGTTAGAGCTTGTGTTTCTACCAGTGAAGACAAATTCAACCGGTGCAACAACCATAGCAGAGACAACGCAAAAAGCAAAAGAAAAGAAAAGGAAAAGAAAAGCAAAAGAAAAAAGAGAAAAGAGAAAGTATATGAATTCCAAAACACACCTACTAACACAGATGAATGGAAAAAAAAACGTACCTCTCGCGCGACCACCAAAGGGGCCGGCAGTGCTGGCAGCAAGCTGCCCTCTTCCACTCAAACCACCAGACAGACGCATCTGCTCGCCAGCGCCAACGCTACCCGCGACGGAGCCAGACATTTCTTCTTTTTCAAGATGCTTGGACGATTTTTGTTGCTGTTGCTGTTGCTGTTGCTGTTGCTGTTGCTGTTGCTGTTGCTGTTGCTGTTGCTGTTGTTGCTGCTCATCAAAAGAAAAAGAGGAATCTGAGTTCAAGTTCGGGAGCTGCCCGAAGGAGATATTTATGCCTTCGGAAAGTGGGTCCGGAACGGAGGACAATGGCTCGGAGGTGTTCGGGGCACTGCCTGTTGTTTGTATTGCTGGTGATGTGACCTCTATTGATTGGCCGGAATACGTGGTCAGCTGATGCGGAGCCGCCCTTATTGTAGTGTCCGAGCCGATACTCGGGGAAGGAGGACGGGGGGTGGTGTAGTTGTGCCTGTCTGCTGGCTGAGAAAGGGCCGTTGAGGCAAGAAGCCCAGCGAACGCGAGCTTAGATTTGATCTCGGCGATGTTCTTTGCGATGGGAGCTTTGAAAAGGAGGCTGGATCCGCTTGTATTGTGCGACGCAGCTATGATCATCAGTCAGGCATACTGGCGTCGTCGTTTAGAAGCAGGGTACACCAACCAGTTACAGAATCCGACGGCCAAACACCTCTGATACTCTCAAACTGCTGCAAAATATGGGCTTTTCTGTCACGCTCATGTGAATACTTTCTCCTGTATCCAGCTTGGAGGGAAAAGCTAGGTGATACAAGCCCTGAAGATGCCTTCAGGCTGTTATCGTCAACAAAAGAGAACTCGTGAGCTGCAGTTACAGGTCAGTAAGCTGCATCAGGAACATGTGTGCAAGAGGGGTATGTACCTCTGTGGCCTTGTTCACCATCAGTGTCGAGCCTTGACCCAACACCACTAACCGAATCAAAACAGTCAGGATCGCGTGCTCCGCAACTGCCAGCAGGGTCTTCTTCGTGTCGTCCCCTTTCAACAGAGGGTTTTGGCGCATGAATACCCGCGTTCTGAGAAGTTGGGTTCACTACCGAAGGGATGCGATGAGACGATGTCGGAGTCGCAGCACCAGAACTGGTGAACAGAGAAGATGAAGAGCCCTGACGAAAGTTGTGACGCCTGCCTGGCTTATTTACTACTTGGTCGGTCGTGCCTGCAGCTTCTTTTGTCTCGTTGGAATCAGCACGCCAGTTTGCCGGTGCTGTTGGTGTCTTCAAGGCCGATTCTGACACACTATCAAGAGAAGAAACGGACTCAAGACTGGTCAATGACAGAGAGCGGCCAGAAGATGCCACGGAAGGCGATGAAAGCTCCCCAGCGAACCAATGAGGCCTAGGCTGCTTGCAGTCAGGCTGCTGTTGATGCAGGTTACCACCAGACATTGCGTTGACGGAGAACCCTGCTTTCGCATCAGCCAAAGGCGTGTACATGGAAAAAGCAGAGAAGCTCGGGAAGTCAAAGGAAACAGTACAGAACAAAAACAAATGGCGGAGACAGCACACACTGATCAAATCAAATCCAAAAGGAAACAATGCCGGCACTGCCCCCCCGGGAGGCGAGAGAGAGAGAGAGAGAGAGAGAGAGAGAGAGGCAACAGGATGTGCGTGGTGGGTGCGTGCAAACGGAATGATATAGTCGCAGTCCAATCAGTTGAGACAGCTGGGGGAAAGCCTGGTCGACTTGGGTTGTCGTGTTTATACCGCCGTGAACCTCCTCTATAGAAAGTATATGCAGGTTAGCACTGTTGACAGCAGGACTGGTATCCTTGGCCGGAAAATAGAGCTGAGAATGGTAACGAGGCGTGCGGTAACAATAGAGCGAGGACAAGAATGAGTGAGGCCTCGTGGAACGGCACACCGGTGGGCCAGCGGACAGTGTCAGTTAAAACAAGGCTGATGCCGCTGATGGTGCTGGAGCTAGGTGACTGGGAGCCCTCGTATCTACCTAGCTGGCAGGTGTAGCCAGTTGAGCAGATCACAAGCAAGTACGACCGTAGCTTTGAGGTGTTGTGCGCCTGCCTGTTGTGCGTCTCCGGCAGAGGGCAGGAAGGGACGAGGGACAAGGGACCAGGGTTGAAGATGAAAGTTGCAAGGCAAAACAGCAGATGCACTTGGAAAATATCTTAGTGTTGATATCTAAGTTAGGTAAGGTATTTACTTGCTACCGATTGACAGCGTAACAGCCAGCATTAGAAAAGAGGCGAAAGAACCTAAACAGCCACATAGATATCTGTCCCGTTATTTATCTTTCTGGTTCTTACTACCTTAGTCTGGCGCCCTAATCCACGCTTGATCGGTGTTTTCCGTTGCTAACCTCTCCTCCACCGCAACCAAACGAACAGACAAGCCACATAAGCTTGTGGTGGGCTTGTGGAATGCATGAGCCTCAACACTTCAGAAAGCAACTTGCCAACCTATCGGAACGAGCAGACATCTCCCCGTTGACTCATATCAATGCATGTAAACAAATGCCGGACAGACCAAAAGGACTTGAACAAGCTTGAAGCAAACGGCCTCACAGTCAATCTGAATAAGGTTGCTTGCCTTTGCCCAGGCACTGGGCGGGAAGCCACATTTGGTGCCTGTTCTTTTTGGTTCACTAGTCGCACGTGACAAACGGCCACTCCGACCGCAAATGGGAGAAAAGATACCGGAAGGTACCAAAAAGGTATTTAGTGCATGTGTGTTGTGATCCTTGGTGAGATATCTGTGTTCAGGGCGGCTACACGGCGGGAGCTGGCTGATGGATGGGATGGGTAGTACGGCTTCAGGGATTGGGAGAATATCATCTCATTGATCAAGATACTTTTCCAGCATCGTGGTGAGAAGTGGCGCCAACCTCCGCTCACATAGCACTCCACACGCCAAACACCAGTGCCTGTGAGCACTTACCGGACAGACATTGAATTGTTATTTACTCCCAGGGCTTAGGTAGGTACTTGTCACTTGCAAGATGTGGCTAGATCCACAAAAAGAATAACAGCATCAAGTCAATACCAAGATTATACATGTTGAAGTTACCACGTGTATTCCAAGACATCGGATGACAAGTACTGACAGTTGATCCCAACATCTCGTCTTTGCCCTATATACTTCCAAATCTCCAAAGGTCACACACCATCCAGAAAGGGTTCTTTACGTCCAGTGTCAAAGTTGGTGGGTATCCCAATGGAGCCATATCAACCCCTAAGCATCCTGCCACTTACAACAGATCTCCAAAGCCAATAAATAAACAAAGCCTTTGGGCAGCTCTAAAACACAGAAAATACCACAACTCTTTCTCATGTCCCTCATTTCTAGAAGAGGCTAAGCTCAGTCCATTCAACGGGCCGCTACGCACGTCAACCCGTCAGCTGTCAAATGTCAATGTTAACACCAATGCCAGCCACAACCCTCACCATCCATTCCCATTCTAGCAATAAACTAGGTACATACCACCAACCCATTGGATCCATCGTGTGTAGCTAGCGCACCACCAATCTCATCGTTTTACAACTCCGCTTCTCTCCAGTTTTCCCCTGCAACTCGCATCCCAACCTCCCTATTCCCCCTCCGACCGCGAGTCATTCCCCTCCCGACAGACCGGTAACGAACAACCCACCCCTCTTCCTGAAACCCTCGGCCACCTCTCAGCCGGCCTAAAGGCGTCATCTCATCTCACCAGCCTTGCCACCCCCAAAACCCAAATCTAACAAAGTAAGCTATCATCTGAAACAAACCTGCCAGACCCAAAAGCAACCTCCATACGGAGGCGCAGTGTGCTTTGGGAAACCCTCCCATCTACCCGCATACCACTCACATCATCGGTCCGACACCCCCCTCAGATCTAGACTGTCGATCGCCCTTCCTCCAGTTTGGTCTGGCTGTAACTCCTCCTCTACCCCTCTCCCGCGATTCTGGACATCAGCCCCAGATCCTAACCATGAAGCACTGCCATCCCAACCACTCCCTCCCACATCCTTGCCAGCGAGCTCCCCCGAGCTCTCACCGAGAGTGTAGATGTCACACTACCAACCCTCCAGCCCCGTGCCTTGCACCTGGAGTTGGCCATTGAGGAGGTAGGCATCTTGCTCGCCCACCTCGAGCACGTCACAAAGATGTCATGTTGCCCAACCCGACCTTGAATCTTCTGTCCCAGTGACCCAACCACTGCCCCGTCTCGACTTCTCTCATTCCCTTGACTTCCATCCCAATCTCGATCATCACATGCCCGCACTGTACCTCCTCCTCTCGTCTCACTTTCTATCCCAAAACACTTAAAATCTAGCCACCTTGCTATTTCCCTTCCATACCATCCCAAGTTTCCCCCCGGCCCCCTCCACAACCGCCTGGACCATGTCAAGTCGCCCACCCTCCTCCCCAACTCTCTCCCCTCCGACTCTCTCCTCCCCAATTCTCCCTTCCCTAACTCTCCCCTCCCCATAGCAGCCCACCCGAACAAGGCCAACACCCCTCCCCTTCTCATAGAAACAAACCAGTGTGGGCAACATCACACAAACATAGGTAAACAGTCACTCTTGAGCGCATCACATAGGTAGGTAGCAAGCACAAACGCAATCCCTGTCTTTGTAAATAAAAAATCTCTCTGTATGATGCTGCGTGGCGCGCAAAAGCAAACCCCAGACGCCTCCCCACCTCCATCCGAATGCCTCAATGCACCGGAAAAAATCCCAGGGTATATCGCGCTATGCAATAGAAAACTCAACCGCAGAGTATTAAAAAGGAGATAATCCCTCTCTTCTGAATGAAAAGAGCTTAGAGATCCTGCCAGAGCACCCCCTCTCTTTCGCAATGAATCACCAGCCAGCCCCTCCCCATCACCATTTTGTCTCCCCGTTTGACTAGCACTCCCCTTCCCAAAAGAAAACAACACACAACAATCCTCAAAAATTATGAGTAAGCCCCAAGATCACCCCCTCAACAACCTCAACTTCTCCACCAAAAACCCCCTCCACCCACTCCTCTCCTCCTCCGTCAACCTCCCATCCCGCTTCAGCTCATCCAACGCTACCCTCAAATTCCTCATGCTCCTCATCTCAGGGCACTCCCAGCTCCACGGGTGACTATACTTGCAAACAACGCACTGCTCCGCCTTTGGCAGCACCACCGCCGCCGCCGCCACCGACGACGACGTCGAGCTCGGAACCGTCGGCACACCAATCTGGTTAACCATCACCCCCCCACCCCCACCACCTCCAGACTGCCCAGCAGGCCTCATCGCAATCGAGTTCAACAAGTCAATCCCCGCCCTTTGAGAGGCTGTCATGCTTGCACCTGCCTGGTGGTGAGTTACTGGGGCTCCCCCGACACCTCCGACAGCTCCGAGCTGCTGCTGCTGCTGCTGCCGTCTTTGGTTTTGGGACGCAGCATTGTCAGGGACATTAAACCGGACGTCTGTGCTAACTGGGCGACTGTTGCTGGCGCCACCGCTGTTTTGTTGTTGGGCGCCTGGGCCTTGGGCCGTGAAGATGGCGACTTCGACTTGGGAACGTTTAACTTTATCACCATTGACGGCGCCTTTGGCGTGGCCGTTTTGGGGGGCGAGGGAAGCTGCTGCTCCTGCTGCTGCTGCTTTCCCTTGGGCTTGGGCGTTGCTTTGGGTCTGGGCCTGGCCGCTTTCGTTGTCTGAGAAGTTGTCTTGCGTGAGCTTGTGGTTCGAGTAATACTGCGTGTTTGAGTGGTCTTTTGCAGGGTCTTCCTCTTGCTGGGCGTGACTGGTGGTGTCGCGCCCCCTTTGTTGCCTTTGGCTCTGCTTCTTGACTGAACTAAAGAAAGTTGACTTTTCGTACCTGACTTGCGCAAGTGTGCTGATAGCCCAGTGGCTGGAGTGCCGACTTCCTCGTCGCTTGTATCACCACCATCGCTTTTAGCGATGAAGTCATGATCACCTTCGCCTTGATCACTGTCTGGCTTCTCTCCCTCGTCAAACTCGAACTGGGGACCTGCGTAGTTGGCATTCTGTTGTTCGTTAGTATTCTGGGCTTCCAGGGACTGGAAGCATAACTACTCACCCCACGACGGCGTCCACCGCGGCCGAGAGTTTCCCTAGCTTTCTCGGCCTCACGACGAGCCTCCTCTTCACGCTGCTTGAGAATTTGGTCCCAGACACTGAGCGACATCTCCTGCTGTTCGGTCTCCTTCATCTCGTCAGCAAGACCATCGTTGGCCCACACTCGGGCGTAGGCAAAAGCAGACTCGGCCGATTTCTTATCGTCGGTCTTGGTTTCCTCCTGCATGGATCGATCTAAAAGCTTGTCAACAGCAGCCGAATCGTATTTGATGGCATCCTTCTTCTTATCGCCAAAGAGAGCTTCAGCGCCGTGCTTCAAGACCGACTCGACGTCATTGGGGGCGTCGTCCTGATTGTCCATGGTCTCGATGAGCAGATGATCGAGCGCCATTTTCTTGCGACCGATCTGAAGAATCTTCTCCTCGGCCGAGTCAACAGTGACGAGCTGGAAGCACAAGACCTTCTTGCGCTGTCCGATACGATGGGCGCGTGAAAGAGCCTGGATATCTTGGTGAGGGTTCCAGTCGGGGTCGAGGATGATGACGGTGTCGGCCGTCGCCAAGTTGATACCAACACCACCAGCGCGCGTCGACAACAACATGCAGAAGATGTCTGAATCTGGAGCGTTGTATGCGTCGATCTTCTTCTGCTTCTCCAAACTAGACTGACTGCCGTCCAAACGCTCGTGTCTGAGGTTCAAACTCATCAAAAAGTCCTCGAGGACCGTCAGCTGGTCAAGGAACTGACTGAAGATGAGGACGCGGTGGCCGCGCTCTTTCAACTTGGGCAGCATAATCTCCAAGAGCATCAGCTTGGAAGAGGCCTCAATCAAGTTCCGGCGAGTGAGCTCGGGAGACAGGTTGCGATCTTCGATGGCCTGGCTGTAGATGAAAGGATGGCAGAGACACTTGCGCAGTTGCATGAGGATGTTGCTCAGCGACCCACGCTCGTTGGCCTTCAGTTTTCCCTGAGCAAAGATGGATCGGATGAGCTGAGGGTTCTTCTCCATGATCGACTTGCAGAGCCTCTCTTGCAAGACCGACATCGAAACAGGGACAATGATCTGAGCCATCGTCGGCAGGAAGGTGAGCACCTCGGCCTTTGTGCGGCGCAAGAAATACGGCCGGATCAGATCATGAAGATGCCTGAGGTTTTCCGAGGTGATCTGGTCGTACTCTTGGTCAAGCTGCTCGGCCTTCATACTGGGGTCGATGAACTGAAGGAGGTTGAATAACTCCCTCTTGTTGTTTTGCAATGGCGTTCCTGTCAGAAGAACCTTGAACGGGATATTGAGCATGTTCAAGGCCTTGTACAGCGAATTCTCGTCATTCTTGAGAGCCTGAGCTTCGTCGACAATTAGACCAGCCCACTTCACACTGCTGAACCGGGATCGCGTTTCACTGTCCTTGACCGAGTCGTAGGACATGATGACAACGTGTGCCTTCATGTCGCGAGTATTGCCTGGAAACAGCTCGTACTCCTTTGCGGCCTGTTGAGACACTCGTCCGCCATAGTATGCAACAACTCGAAGGTCAGGAGCCCATTTCTTGATCTCACGTCGCCAGTTGGCGCAGGTCGCATTTGGCACCACAACAAGAAACGGCCAGATGCGAGGCTTGGTCATGATGAGAGTGTAGAGCAGTGCCACGATTTGAACTGTCTTGCCCAGACCCATCTCATCGGCAAGAATGACACTCCTGTCATGACGGAAGTTGTGAAGCATCCAGTTGACGCCATTGATCTGATATTCCATAAGCTGGCCGCGCTTGAGGCCCTCGGGCTGCTTCTTGAGTTCGATATCTTTGACGAAATCGAGTTGGCGGAATTCTTGGAGGCGCTCTCGCATGACACGGTTGGACTCTGGTTTGAAGTGCTTGCCATTGAGGTACTCCCGGTACGCCTCTTGATACGCCTCCCAGAGAGCACCGTCTGACGAGTCCGGAGGGGTGTCCCAAACAACATCCTCGTACCCAAGGCCCTCAAACTTCACAAGGATTTTGACCACGTGGAAGATCCGACTCAAGTCCTCCTGGAACTTGTCCTCGCGAGACCGAGCCTTGTACTTTGCTTCAGCCTCGACGGTTCGCGGAGCGACGTGGACATCGAGAATGATATCAGGTGTGACCCAGACATTGTAGATGGCCTCCTTTTCGGTCCATCTGAGCAGAGAATCTGCCTTGATCTCGCTGTCAGGACCTCCCTCAAGCCCCTCTCCAAATGTCCTCTTGAGGAAGGAGACACGCATGTTGTGTTTGACGATACCATAGACCCAGGCGCCAGGGAACCACTGGCAATGGTTGTAAGACTGGCGCTCCCACTTGATCAGGTACTCGATTTGATCCTCGTCGAAGTCTGCGATAGTCTGACCTTCGATGTAGCTCTTGCGATCAGCTGGGCGCCAGGCCACAATCTTGTCAGGCTTGAGCCCATCTGTGTCGCGACAGTCCTTGCACATCCAATCGATCTGGTACTCTTCCAACCTGAGCTTGCGTAGATTGAGAGGCTCTGACCAAGACGGGTCTCGAGTCGGGTTGGGATGGGGGAGATGTTCATAGTGCCAGCCTCGATGGCACCTGGCACAGCGAAAGAGGACGTTGTTGTGGTTGTTGATAAGCTTGGGATTGACCTCCGTGATGGGATCAACACCGCCATTATCGATGCGCAACTTCTCCTCTTGCTTGGGTGTTTTCTTTTCGGAGAAAGGGATGCATGATGGGCCTCTGACATGGCAAGTTTGGCATGTGCCGTGGCTTGGTGCCCGCGGGTCTCGCTTCTTGTAAACATCGATGCAAAAGCGGCACTGCATGACGAAGGAATCTGGCCCAACCTTGGTCACACACTGCTCACGGCTGCTGCGGTTGCCCAGACAGACTTTGTGATAGACATTGGAGCAGCCTTGACAAAAGACAAAGGTTCCCTTGTTGCGGTCATCAGGATAGCCACAACTGTCGCAGGTCAACCTGTGAGCTTCCTTGAAGTCGGTGGGAATGTTGCCCTGAAAGATCTCCTTCACGCTGGCGACTTTGGGGGCAGCAGCAGGTTTGTTGTCCGAGATGTAGAAGGCTTCATCATCCTCGTCATCCTCGTCCTCGGCGTACTTGTCGACCATCTTTCTGGTGTTCTTGTTGGCACGGGATGAACGGCGGCGGCTGCTCTCAAATTCTATGTCAGAGTCACCCGCAGAGGCAGAGACAGACGTGGTCTTCTGTATGGTCCTGGCAGAAAGCCTCGAAGACAAGCGCTTCAACTTCTTTCGGCCGGGTCGCACAATATCAGAGGTGACAATGAATGAATCCTCATCATCCTCCTGCAATTCATCTTGACCGCCATAGTAATTGGTGACTTCAGCACGCTTGCGCAGAGATCTGCCAAAGTTGACAGGCGGAAGCATGGTGGGGGCACCTCGGGTGCGGGGGATGTCGTCGTCAGAGGCCTCGTCGAAATCGTCAACGGCACCAGAGTAGTTATCGTTATAACCTCTCTTGCGCTTTCTGAAGTCATCGTAATAGTCCTATAAAGTATGGGTCAACAATTTGCCGGCAAGAAAGAACAATGGGCATTGATTGGAGTGAAAAAGAGAAATGCGGAAAATAGAGAGTTTTGCAACAAGTAAATGAATAAGTGAATGCAGTGCAGAGATTGAGTCACTTGACTCTGGTCGCCCAATTCCGCCAATCTGGCTGCCTGCGCTTACAGAGTCACTGCCGGCGTCGCTGTCAATCTGGTCAATATCCATGGGGTCAGAGTCGTAGTCGCTGTCCTTGTACTCAGAGGCCTGATCAGAGGCATAGTCGCTATCGCCTTCGTAGGCGTGGTCGGATTCCTGGTTGACGCGATCCATGGTCATCTGCTGTGACTGAACGAAATTTCTGTGCTCTGGCTGGTGCTCATCCAGGTAGGCCGGGTGAAAATTGTTCAAATAGTCGCGGTCAAAGTCGCTGGTTGACAGGTTGTTGCCTGATTGAATATTCCAGTCGGCTTCCTCTGGGTCAATATACTCAACCTCGTCAATATAGTAGTCGTCAGGTGACAATTGCCTGCCGTTGCTGGCCTCGGCAGTCAGGCTGAGCAGAGCCCCGTCATCCCCGCTATTCTCGTCATCGAAAGGCGGAGTATACTCGCCGTCTGAGTGACTGGAAGACCCCATTGGAAGGAACAAACCGGCGAGAATGGGCGTTTTCAGAAGCTTGGGAGGCGAGCAGCAGCGAGAAAGTTGAGGTTCTCGGGAAGAGGAAGACGGCGAATCAAACCAAACGGAGAAATAGATGGATAACAAAACCGTGTGACCTGCAAATAATGAAAAGGCGCTAAGGGTTCAGACGAAGGTGTGTTGGGAAGGAGCAATATTGTGATCAATAGGGGAAGGTCATTGACAGTAGTTGTGTGACCCAGCCAAAATCCTTAGGTGGAGAAGGAGCGATGGGTGAAGGCAGAAAAGAAGCCAGACAAGTCTTCGGCTCGGGAGATACCGAAAGCTGGAGGTCGTCATGTGGGCTAGGAAGAGGATGCTGACCATGTTTGAAGCCAGAACAGCGAGGCTAGCGATACTGTAGGCACCAAGACCGCACAACTCAAGCTCCCCAAAAACCCCTGGCTCCATACTAAAGACAAACCCAAAAGAGTTTGGATCAGGAGCCCGGGATTGCATTACATCCCGACAGAGCAACTTGCTCTCCATGTTGGGACTTGATACTTTGATGGCAACTCCACCCACCCCCCGACCCCTGAGGCCCTTGTGGTTGTCGTCCCAGCTTCCACTCAACCACTTGGAAGAGTTGCCAACTACAACTCCTTAGACAAACGCCACAACCTAACACAGCACAACGCAACTCCCATGATGTTGACGCACTTGCATCGTTGAGCCTTGCTCATATCTCCCACCACAGCAGACACAAACAGCAAATCACCCAGCACAACCCCTTACCCCATTGCGTGTCCTCCTTGTCATGTAGCCCTCAGTTTCTGGCTTCATCTCTGGCACCTCAATGTACTCAAACTCGGCCTTCTTTTCCTCCGACATCTCCGGTAACGCTACTTCAATGTCGACGATTCTTGTGACTGGACCGGCCGAGTCGTCTCTATCGCTTCGATGTCCGTCATAACCATGTCCATCCGTTACCGGTGGTTCCTCATACTGTATGGAGTCGTCGGGCAAAAAGTCGTCCATATTCGCACGAGGCATCGCAGGCATCAAATGTGACGGTACCGAAGGCGCAACAGGCTGGGTAATCTCGTCGACCGCAATCGGATCTGGATCCTCATCGTCTGACAGTTCGGACTGAAACTCATAGGTCGTGGGTTCTTCTGTCGGCATGGGATCAAAAAACAGCTCATCATCTGAGCTCAAAAGACCGTTGGTGGCCATGGTCGGCAGTACATCAACAATAAGTCGAAGGGGGGTGCGTGCTGGTTTGCTGTGCCAAAATGTCGAGTTCGAAAGGTCTCCAAATGTAAGCAAGTTTGGGGAAGCTACTCTTGGAGAAGCAAGTCAGTTGAGATGACAGAAAACAAAAAGCTGTGGCCGCATACCAATGCCAAGCTGTTTACTGAAAATTGCACAAGCTGAGAATCGGGGTGAGGGGGGTTATGGTTAACAGAGAGACAGTCTCAAAGCATGGGAAGTGGAGGGGCGCCGCCTTTCACGCGACGGACCAAAAACACGCGTTTGCTTAAATGGATTAAGGCTTTCCAGGGATTAAATTGAAATATAATGTCCTGAATACTTTGGTTGGCTGCCCGGCAGCTGTGGTGGGGCCGCTGGGTCCTGGGCTTGGCACCTTCCCGACTTTTTCTGCATCTGAAGGCCTGGATCTTCTTCGAGGAAGGAGCAAACATAGTCTCAAAAGCATTCATTTTCTCTCATTTTGGGGGCTGAGTTCGTCTTGTGCGTTTGTACATTTTAGATTGTGGTTCAGGTTGAGGCTTGTAACCCTTTTCTTCGCATTGAAACACACAAGACACCTCAAGTGCATCTCTCTTGTACACATCTCTTGGCATCCTTGAGACTCAAAAAGTGAGGCTTCACTCAGCAAACATACATACATTCAGTTTCACTTCTTCACACTTTCCCGAGCCGTCATGGCTCTCCAACTGGCCTACCGTGCCACCAGACCGTCAATAACCACCTCATCTCCCTCGGTCATCTCACTCATCACCCCTTCCTCAAGGGCCTTCTCCGTCTCAACCACCCTTCAATCCGGCAAGTTCAAAAATGACGGCCACACCTACGCCGAGCGTCAAAAGCTCCGTGATGAACTCAAAGCCCAACGCCCCGACTACAAAATCCGCAAGGGAAGAAAGGACATCACCGAGTACCCAGACAAGGCCAGACCCAAGTCCAAGCAAGCCCGCTTCTTTGACCCCGAGGACAGCCATGGCAAGAAAAGTTTGGTCTACAAGTTCAAGACTGGACAATTGGCCGAAGAGGTCAAACAGCTGAAACGGGAAATGGGGATGGGTTCTGCCGACGGTGATGCTTTTACCAATTCAAGAGGTGAGAGAGGGAGGGATGTCCGTCCTTCTCGCCGGGATAGGGAGAGGTCTTCGGCATCAAAGCCGTTGGATTCTAGGGGTTTTGCTTCTATGATGAGGGGGGAGGAGGGTATGAATCCTTGGGGGCAGGATAAGAGGTCGAACAAGGGGAGAGAGAGGCCTTTTGGGGGTTATGCTAAGACTGCTCCTTCTCGTGACCGGGAAGAAAGGAGCTTCGGGTCGAGGGACAGAAAGTTTGACAGGGGGAGTCGTGACGGGGATAGACGGGGCAAGAGCTTTGGTGACAGGCCGTCTCGTAACGGTAACAGGCCATCGAGAAGCTTCGGCGATGTGCCTCAGAGGGTCTTTCCTCCAAGAGAGTTCAAAGAGCGCTCCTCCAGAGCTTTTGGGGACAGACCCCCCAGGAACTTTGGTGACAGGCCTCCAAGAGAGTTCAAAGAGCGCTCCTCCAGAGATTTTGGGGACAGACCCCCAAGAGACTTCGGCGATAGACCTCCAAGAGAGTTCAAGGACCGCGCCCCGAGAGACTTCAACGACCGCCCCCCAAGAGAATACAAGGACGACCCCTTCCACGACAGTGATGCCTACGAGCGCCCCGAGCCCATCGGCATCACCTACACCACCGCCGCCTCCCAGTTCCTCTACGGCTCCTCCTCCGTCGAAGCCGCCCTCCGCTCCGGCCGCCGCAAGCTCTACAAGCTCTACATCCAACAAGGCGACGACGTCCGCGAATCCCAGAACGCAGATGACATCAAAGCCGAGAAAGTCATCCGCACCCTCGCAAAGCAAAAGAGCGTCCCTGTCGAGGTCGTCTCCGGGAAGTATGGCATGCGTCTCATGAGCAAGATGTCTTCTTCCCGTCCCCACAACGGGTTTGTTCTTGAAGCGTCTGCTCTCCCTCAGCCACCGATCGTGGCCTTAGGCGCCATTCCCGAGGACCCGGCTGAGTACGCGGCTAAGCCTGGGTTTTCGGTCGAGTTGGGCCATCAGTCGGCTGAGGACGTTGCTATCAATGGCACGAATGACTTTGTCTACTGGCGCAAGAGCGCTACGCACAAACCTTTGGTTGTGGTGCTTGACAGAATTCTTGACCCTGTCAACCTAGGTGCTATTCTGCGCAGTGTCGGGTTCTTTGGCGCGGCTGCTGTGGCGATTACAAACTATGGTGGGACAAAAATCACGCCTGTCGCGTTGAAGGCATCGGCTGGTGCGGCGGAGGAGGTGACCATTTTTGGGATTAATTCTCTGCCCGAGTTCCTCAATGCTTCGAGGGCGAACGGCTGGGAGGTTTATGCTGCTGTTGCTCAGGAGCCGGGTGCTACAAGACAAAGAAGACAGGTTGATTTGTTTGATATTGAGAAGACGGACCCGTTGAAGAGAACGCCGTGTGTTTTGTTGCTGGGGAGTGAAGGTGAGGGGTTAGACAGGCTGGTGGTCAAGAAGGCGGATTACGAGTTGAATATCCCTTCCATGGCGGGACAGAGCGTGGTGGATAGTTTGAATGTCAATGTGGCGGGGGCGTTGCTGTGTGCCTCGTTTTTGAAGGGGATGCAGAAGGCTGTGTTGAAGAAGGAGGCAGCGGAGGAGGATGGTGAGGAGGTCACGAAGGAGACGCTGTTTGAGATTTAAAAAGTTTGGATAAGGGGGGGGATGTTGTGTAAGACTATGGATGTGCACCTGTGGTAGATACCCTCAATCTAAAATGTATAAACGTTGAAGCAATTTAGGGGACATGTAAACAAACTGCCGAGTTGGGATGATTGGACGTGGGGGGTTCCGATGGTCGGGTGGGGTGATGCAGGGGGTTCCCGAGAGTTTGTGGTACTGAGCTTTTCCAGTTGTTGATGTTGTTGTTCACCCTGTTTTCTATTCTTAATTTTTGGCTCAGATCTTACAGGAGATCCACTCACCGACTTTCATCTGGTTGTCTGTCCAGACGTCATTGACCCCTTCTCACAGTTTAGCTCCAGCCAACGTGTACGCCAAGCAACGATAAGCAGCGCCCCCCTTGACCGTTGCGTTGTCGCGGTGTTCTCGACCAAAAGAGCCGGACCCACAGAATGTCAACATAGCTGTTTGCGCATGCGACTTGCGACAGCTGAACATTTACAATCACGACCACGCCTCCTCTGGCGATACAGACGGCTCTCCCAGGGTTGAGGTTCTTGCATGATTTATTGTTGACACATTTTTCTCTGTTGAATTACCCCCGCTGTGCCCGCGCGACGGTAACCCCTCTTGTGCACCCGACGCTACACCGCAATTCAATTCAATTCGCAACACCGCTCCCTCCCCAGATCACAGACAACCTCACTCACCACCACCACCACCACAATGCGCCCCCTCCCCCTCCCGCTCTGGGCCTTAATATCCGCCCACCTCTCCCTCGCCGAACAACAAACCCCGCTCCAACAACCAACCGCCATCCGAAAAATGCCCCCCAACAACCCCTCCCTCAAATTCCACTCCCACTTTTGCGCCTTCGACCCCTCCCAAACATCCCCTTCCAACTCTTCTGCTGCGGTCCTCCTCCCGAGAGATGGAACCTCCTTCTCCGCCCCCCTCCGCGCAGTCTACAACCCTCCTCCACCCGCATCCCCCAACCCACAACGACGAGGGGTGCTGGGAGTAAGCAAAAGACAGTGGTCCTGTCCGACAGACACCCTATTATGCAGCAACATCGGCTACCCCAACACCTGCTGCCACGAAGGGTCGACATGCATCAAAATCCCGGATACTGGCTTGGGGCCGGTGGGTTGCTGCCCGGATAACACCCAGTGCACAGGGGGCGTGACGAGTTGCGGGGAGGGGGGGGTTGGGTGCCCGAGTGAGGTTGGGGGAGGGTGTTGTTTGAAGGGGTGGGTTTGCGGCGGGTTGGGTTGTAAGTGCCCATCTTGACATGAGATTTTTGGTTGGGATGGTGTGACTGATATGAAAAACTGTAGGTGTCATAGGAGGGGAATAGTGTTCCACTTCCTGTTCCCATCCCAACTACAACCACGACCTCGGCTCCGCTGGAGGCAACCAACAACAACTACTTCAGAGTCGAGTTCTACTCCGGAAACGACGTCAACTCGACCCCAGTCATCGACAACTACGTCTGATGACGCCCCGGAGACGTCTACAACGGGTGAACCGGGATTTTGTCCCACGGGGTATTATGCTTGTCTTGCTCGTGCGAATAACGAGGGGGGGTGTTGTCAGATAGGTCGGGGTTGCGCCGAGACTGATTGCCCGCCTTTGACTTCCTCGACGACGGTGGTTGATGGCAATGGGGTGACGATTGCGGTGCCGATGCCGACTGGTGCGCCGCCTGTGATGGGGGATGAGTGTGCTAATGGGTGGTTCATGTGCAATGAGAGGGATGAAAGTGAGGGGTGCTGTCCTGATGGGTATGGTTGTGGGACGGCGAGCTGTACGCTTGTGAGAGCGGGGGAGACGGCTGGGGTTGCGAAGGCTTTGCCGGGGACGGGGGCTGCTGTGAGGTATGAGGGGGCGTTTGTGGGAGCTTTGGTTGGGGTGGCTGGGATGGTTATGGCTTTTTGAATTGGGGGGAGGGGGGGGGGATGGGATCTGGTTTAAAGTGACAGGAATGGATCATGATAATGTAATGGTATGGGTGGCATGAGTAGGGGGTATTAATGGAGTTGGCGTTGGAACTGTTTGCGATTTGTTGAAAGAGAGGGCAAGTAGAAAGCATAGCATTGGTCTAAGGGGAGTACAAATCTCGATATTGCATTATTTACTCACAAACGCCATACCGATGCCACGATTACTCTAACCTAGTTAACACCCCTATCCTCAGGCAAAACTTCCTCACCTGCACTGTCTCGGGCAGACATCTCCCTCTGCCTGGCACCCACCAGAGGTCCATAATCCCTTCTCGATCTCCTCCCCCAGCTTCCCCCTCCCACCATCCCTCCCCATAAATCTTCTCCATCTCAGCCAACACAGCACCCAACTGATTAGGCAACCAAGTCACAATCGGACTCCCCCCCGTAGCAGTAGGATGCGAAGTCTGCTTGAGGATATACTCCCTAGCAAAACACCAATGCCGCCACCTAAACTCCCTCACCTGATCCAACAGCCTCAACCAAAGCCTCCTTGTCTCCCTCCCCTCCTCCTCCTTCTCCTCCCCGCCCAAAGCCCATCGCTTGATCCCCAACTCATCCTGCCTCTCAGCTACATACTTGATAAAATCCCGGTGATTCGACGGCCTGTACTGCCTAAAATCCTTCAATATCTCCGTCAACGGCGTCTCCGGCATCGGAATACTCAACAAACTATCCATCAGTGGAATCATACTATCGTTCGCCCCCGACTCCCCCCTGAAACTCTGTCTCTCCCCTTTGTACTCCTCTATCCCCTCGTACAGCACCCCGTGGGGAAACATGCTCTGCGAGGTGATCCCAAAGATGAAGGTCCGAAACGAGGTGTAACTCCCCGGTTTGGACTTTTGCCACATCGTCTCCATCGACCTGTTGATGTTGCGCAACGCGGTCAACATCTCCTCCCCGAGGGCGGTGTTGAACCTGCTCCTGTCGCGGGAGGTAGCGGACGATAAGGCGTTGACGCAGCCTGAGACTAGCAGAGGGGAGTGGGAGACCATGGCGATGTGCACGAGCACGAAGCCTGCCTCGGAGGAGGAGGGGTCGAGCCCGTGCTCGAACGCGCGGATGAGGCGGAGGTTGGGGTAGGAGAGGCCAGAGGGGGGGTTGGCGAGGCGGTAGTTGTAGAGGGCGTAGGAGCCGGCGTATTCCATGAAGGGTTTGAAGCCCGTTCTTTTTGTGGCAGGAGGGTTAGCAACAGTGATAAGAGGGAAGGGGGACTGGGGGTGTCATACAATTCGGCACAGCGCTTGATTGGGCGGGCAATGTTGGCTGGGAGGACATCACGGGCTAGGCCGTAGGGTTCGCCTTTGATGAAGCGGAGGTGGCAGGGTTCGAGGAGGAAGGCGGACAAGAGGAAGGAGTAGTCTCGGTACAGGGCGTTCATCAAGGGGAGGTTGGGGGCGTACTTGTCGATGTGGGAGGTCAAGTCTGGGAGCTCGGACAGGACGACATTGCCCAGCTTGCCCTCGGCTAGGAGGCCAGGCTCACCAGAGGCCGTCTTGACGGGCATACGCTGAAGGATCGACTCCAGAGGGTCAAACTCGGGGGGTAGAGTGACGATGGGGTCGGCACGGGGGAGGAAGCCGCGGGTGGTGGACACCATGAAGGCTGGGAGGGAGGTGTCGTCTGGTTTGGCGTCTGTGAGGACGTTGAAGGGGGTGACGGGGTTGGATAGGGAACCCATTGTGTCTTGAGGTCAAGAATCTTTGAGGGTTCGAAGTATCGGGAAGATGTTTGAAGTTGAGATAGAAGCTGTTGATTTGGTCCTGAAGAATGGCCAAGTTGCTCGCCTATATACACCATGGCCGGAATCTATTCCGGCCTCGCCCTGGTCACATCTTGACCGTCTATGCGAACTAGCAACTCCCCCGGATGGTTGATATCCGACAGACCGATTTCTCTTTGTCATGGAAAGCCATGAGGAGACCACGAGACTGTCACCTTGCTGGCCCGGCCATCGTGTCTGGCAGCGGGATCTCGACAAAGAAATAATGGTTCGAATCAGTATATTGTATGTTCCTAAGCTCGCAATATCAAGCAAGATAACCACCAGCACTAACCTCAACGTCACTGGTGCACGCCTATGGTCGTGCAAGTCAGTCCAAACACACCAAAATACAGTTCATGCGCCCTCACCATGACCAGCCGAAAAGATAAGAGAAACTCACCCTATACTCCTGTCGTCACCCTTGCATCCGAATGAAGTGGAAGAAAGCAACCCATGCAGTGGTGTCGACTATGCACTAGCTATGTAACAGCAACAAACGAGCTCCACCCATCTCCGGCCATAACCGGCCTCAGCCGGCCTCCCTCCCCATTTTTTTCCCAAGACGCCCGATCGAAACGGCCGGAGAAATTCCGGCCGTTATCTCCCGTGGTCGGGGTGCTCTTAACGGGCTTTGACGGTGAAAACGCTTCCTCTGACCGGTTCGGACCGTTGCGGTGCTCCGTTATCGGGCCATAGCAACTCCTCAGCTAATCAACCCCTCACCCGGCCAGCCCGCCATGTCAACCTCGATTAGGAAGGCGAGAATGTCAAATGTCAACAGCAGGGCTAAGACAGGTGGAGCTATCATGGGCTAGGATTCTTTACCTTTAAAACTCAATTTGAACGTCTCACTGCCATACCAAACTCATTGCACATAAAACTTGCTAATCACCAGTCGTGTGTGCTGTCAACTTACACTTTACACCAAAACTACCCCGCGATCCGGATCCGAACCCCGATCCACTCCCGGCCCGGGCTCAAACACACCATCACAATGTCTTCCCCCGAAACCCTCACCTTGGCCTCCGTCCAAGAAGCTCACAAACTCATCAAACCCTTCATCCACCAGACCCCCGTCCTCACCTCAACCTACATCAACACCCTCGCCTCCACCCCCCAAACCCCCGAATCCCTCTCCAACACAGAGTGGTCCGGCCAAACCCCCTCCAACCCCATCCTCCGCATCCATTTCAAATGCGAAAACTTCCAACGCATCGGTGCCTTCAAGGCCCGCGGTGCTTTCCACGCCATCGAACGCCTAAAGCAATCCCCCGACTTTGACCCCTCCCGCGGTGTGGTAACTCACTCATCAGGTATTTACACTAACCCCCTCCCTCACCCCATCACTTACCTAACCCCCCCCCCCCCAGGCAACCACGCCCAAGCCCTCTCTCTAGCCGCCAAAACCTCCTCCATCCCAGCCTACATCATCATGCCCACAATCT